TGTTTGTCAATTTAAAAGATAATTTTGCAAGTCAAAAAAATTAAAATGTGTCGTAAAACTGTGAAGTAACACATTTGTTTGTGTGAAAGGCTCAATGAACTACATCTCTGGTCAACCACACACGTCACCAAGATGGCCGTCACTACTGTCTTGTCAACAAACGATTGACTATCACCACAATGAAACACGTCCTGAAGAATGTCATGCAAAGCCTACCTTCCTTTGATTCTCTCTGAACTGCCTGGTCGTTTTAATGTTTAATGTCAACCATTTGTGCAGATAGCATGAAGTAGAAAAGATCGCCGATGCTAACGTTAGCGTTAGCATTTCTCCCCCGGAATGAAATGGTGTATTATAGAATGATCACACCGGTGACAGTACTATTCAAAGGGTTCACGAAATATGACTACTACTCTTACTGTTTAACATTTTGGGTTACTTAATGTTACTTCATGTTAAGGCTAATAAAAATGACAAGGCTGTAATGCTAACTAACGTGCTAGCTACTAGCTAGGTAGCTAACTTGATCAAGCCACTCCTGGTCGTTTCATCAGACGGGAAGCAAAAGAACGAGCAAGACCCATTGCTGGTATAATAACAACCTGGTACTAAGCACACAGGCATCTTGTTAAAGTTATCTTATCTTAGCCAGCGCCATATAGATAGATTATATCTATATTGCGCTGATCTTAGGTATCTGAATGGTGGAGGTAAACCATTGTGACATCACTTACGCGACTCTGGGATTTGTAGTCTTTCTAGTTACGTATTTTTCATAGTCTTATATTTCAACAGTTTTACGACAAACTGTGACTTTTTTGACATGGAAATGATTTTTTAAGATTGACAAACATCATATGTGTAATTCATGGCACAATTCAAACGGGATCGAAAGATAAGTTTTCTCTCCCCATTGACTTCAATGCATAACTTTTCCGGAATAAGGTCCCATACCCCGGAAGTAAGTGGGAGGGACTTCGCCACTCTATACACTATATGTTTCGTCGTGTGTTTGTGTGACAATTAACAAATATATTGTACTATGATAAGTTAAAGCAAAATGATTGTCTATTGCCGCTTTAAGCTATTTGATTATAGTTTTTTATTTGTTTTATATTTGATACATGGATACAATGTGGCAACCATGAAGAAAATATGTGATCTGATATGAGCTCTTGATAAGCAGGAGGAACATTCCAGAGACTCTTTAAAAAATGGTGGACACATAGTGACCTCTAGTGTTTGATTTGTGTTATTACATCCAAATGAGAACATTAAGAGACGAGCAGCGAGTGCGGTTGCTCTGGTGAACGCAGCACTATACAAATAAAATATATACATGTGGGTATTTTGTCAGTATTTAAGTAACAAACCATTACACTTTTATACTTGTTAAAGATGAAACAATAATTTGTTGATCTAAACTATTTTATAAATTCAATGTTTCTGTCCTTTTACGTTCCTTACCTCTTCTGTCAGATTCTCAAAGGTCAGATAATTAATAATAACAATATTAACTTTCAGCCTTATCATTTTAATATGACTTCTGCTTCATAATGGGCATTTATTTGAAACACAATGACCTTAAAAACACAAACATAGTGATGGTCATATAAAGACAATGATGTTTACAATATTAATGTGAAACAAAAAGCATTTAATTACCACATATTTCAAAATTCATAAGCTGAATTTAAATAATTTCCTCTTTATTCACTCACTTGAAGTCATTAGCTAGTATTATTACATGTGATGATATACTATTTTAACCAGTTGAGCCCCATTCCCCCGGTACTGGGGGCAAAACGCAACATCTTGCAAGAAACAGCGTCTGAGGGCTTCTTAACATTTAACAAACTATGAATGTGTCATACCCACTTAACGGGAAGAAACTCAGCTATCAGACAATATTAACAATTTTTAGTTAAACGAAACACAAGGGTAATATCAAGCCTCTGAATTAGCCCTAACGCACTTAGCACAGAACTCACGGTATAAATACTTTATTACTTATCGGATCTGCACAAACAAGATATCAGAGTAAAGCTGGGATTCCACAGATTCTAGAGCAGGGGTATTCAACTAAAATTCAACGAGGTCCAGTTAGAGAAAATGTCCCCATGCAAAGGTCCGGAACATCAAAATGTCTAACTTGCTTTATGAATTAGTGTGATATATATTGAAGTAGCCTGTAGCTTTATCAACGTCATCAACAACTGACTGCCAATCAAATAAAGAAAGTACAATTCATTAACAACAATATGTATTGTCAATGAACATTGAACTATACAGATATACAGTAAATACTGTGGATATGTGTAATGTTCCTCTCGGGCTGCATTTAAAAATAAAATAGAGAAATAAATAAAATAGCTTTGTTAACCGTTTCACATCATGACTTAACAGTTTCAGACGATTATAGAACAATATCAGTCTTTACACATCATAACAATTGCACAGTTTTAAAGTTTCTCTTTCTTTCCCTTTTATATTGCAGTCCCTCACTCACTTTTCTTTAATTCAGTGCGAGAATTGAGCTTGAGCTTGTCCTGCCAGGAGTTTAAATCTGGGCTGAAATGCTGTCAGGGCCATTCTCATACACACATGCAGGTGCTCATTAGCCTCGGTTAGCCTGCCCTGGAACGATATTTAGTTTTAATTTTGATCCTGGTGGACTGATCATATTGGGCTCTGAGACTGCTTATTTTTTGTGACCTCAGTTCTGACTTGAGAGGGAATGTTTGGTCAAACACTTTGTGTTTTGTGGCGTTTTGGCACTTTTAATTAGGGTTGGGAGGGTTACTTTGTAAATGTAATCGGTTACTGAATACATGGCTCCGAAAGTAATCCGAATACAGTTACAGTTACGTGTCTTAAAAAAGTAACGTATTCAGATTACTTTTAGAATACTTTTGGAATACTTTATTTTTCTATAACAGATGGGTATGTTTTGGTGAACAGGAGACACTTATTTTACTGTTTTAATGGCTTATCAAGAGCACAACTCAAACACAACATCTTGGTGTCATTCTGGACAGCTCCCTCTCATCTGCACCCCACATAAAAAACATCACCCGGACTGCATTATTTGTACTCTCTTAAACCTTTCCTTAGAATATGTTATGAATTGTCAGGTGTCCTTGGGTGCTTTGAAAGTCGCCCCTAAATAGAATGAATTATCATTATTATTTATTATCTGAAACGACGTAATAACTTTTAAAACTGTTTCCAGTCACTTGCCCCATGCATTCAGCAGCAGCAGGCCATTCACTTTGATTTGATCCCGTTATGAAATGTCATCATTTTGACAATAAAGAAATGCTACATAAACGTTATCTTGCACATTTTATCGAACCATCTCCGTTTCTAACTTTCATTATATTTTAAAAGAGATCTCTCTCTCTGATCTGCGTGCGGGGGCGGGGCCTCACCGACACGCTGCATCTCTCTCGCTCACAGACACGCTGCAGCTGTGCAGTGTGCACACAGTTCTGCTGGTAATGACTATTACATTTTATGAGGAAACTTTTCCACCAATAATTCCCATAAGTATTCCAAAATGTATTCACTTCAGGTTTACGAAAGTAACTGTAATCAGATTCCTCGTTTTTCAAATATAACGCGAGCTGAATACAGTTACTTGATTTTTGTATTCTGCTTGAGCGCCACGGTCAATGAACAACTGAGACACACTGGTTCTGTGCTCCCAGTGGGCCGGATGAACATGAATGAGTCCGTCCACGCAGGGTTAAAAGCTCTGTTCTCACTGTCCACTTTCCTCTTCTTGGAGAGCGCCATGTGTCATTATTTGTCTCTCCCTGTCTGCCGCTAACACGCCTGTTCACTCTCCTCTCCGTCTTCTCTGCCTGTATCGCTAATTATTCTCTTTACTCACTTTCCTCTCCGCTTCTCTCTGCCGCTCTCTCATCTCTTCTTCTGTGTTTCTCTCCCTGTATCGCTCACTCGTCTCTTTCGCCCCCTGTTGGCAGCGGTTAAAATAGAATCACCCCGTCAAAATTGAAATCCCCTATTAATGTATTGATTATAGGTCCGGGTCCGTATAGGTCGGCGTCTGGGTCCGGATCCGGACCGCGGTCCGCCTGTTGCCGACCCCTGTTCTAGAGGTATAAGTATCTTTACTGTGCGACCAAAACTCAGGGCAGCGAAGGCAAACCCAGACCACACACCACGTAGCTTTACGGAGCCAAAACTGCAAATATGTCTTACCTTTGCTGTTTTCTGATCAAAAGTTGTGTTCAATGGCATTAAAACGCATAAAAACGCTGCTGAAGGTTAATCCAATGTCTCTGTGTGCCATTGAAATGATTACTGATAATCCATCATCATATTTATGGCTATAACCTAGTTTTCAGTTTTCAGAGCGTAACATAGCTTTCGGTTTGGGCAAGCTGCGTGCGCATCACTCTCACTCCTCAATGGTAACGTGTAGGTGGGTTTAGGAACTTCCCTCTCGATCCTATTGGCTCTAACGGTTCAAAAGAGGTGTCAATCATCAAAATCGACCGAGGGGGGCCAGAGATATGGCAAATCCACCCAAATGACCCCAGAAGTGTTTTTTGTGTGCTAAACCTTTCTAAAAAGGTCAAATTACACTTGTTTTGCATCAATCTTGATACAGGGTACTTATTATATGTTATAGTTTGGATTCTTAAAGCTTTTAGTCTACTAACCCATCATTCAAGGGTGGTTTTCACTATAAGTAATGTTTTTGTTTTTGGACGGACACTATAATTAAAAAATGTTTACTACAGTATGTTCAATCTGAATTTACTTTATAATTCTTTATTAATTCTGACTTCTCTACATCCAACTCGCAGGTTTATCTTTGCTTTGAGAAAAAAGATTATGAATTTACCCCTTTTAGAAGTGAAGTTATAGTCATTTGTTCTGGGAATGTCCTTTTCCTGAGCCTGAGACCTGAAAAACAGGCTTTGGGCTTAACTGGTTAAGTAAAACAAATACATTTGAAAACACACGGATGAATAAAAAAATAGTTTAATAATATGACAAATAGCAGTATAATATAGCCTCATCAGCAGGTTCATCTCTTACATCCTGGAAGTGAAGTCTGCTCTCCTGACCAGAGACCTGCTGACCTCAGATACAGAACGACAACCTACACACACACCACACCACACACACACACACACACACCACACACACACACACACACACACACACACACACACACACACACACACACACACACACACACACACACACACACACACACACCACACACAACACACACACACCCACACACACACACACACACACACACACACAAACACACACACCACACACACACACCACAACACCACACACACACACACACACACACCACACACACACACACACACACACACACACACACACACACACACACACACACACACACACACACACACACACACACACACACACAGAAATTAGAAAAATAGTTGATATGCCTACAAATGATGGTGTGTGTGTGTGTGTGTGTGTGTGTGTGTGTGTGTGTGTGTGTGTGTGTGTTACCTGAGAGAGCCATAGCCAGTCGTAGCTCCTCTTTAAAAAGTTCCAGGATCTCTGTCACTCCCTGTTCCCCCTGGATACACACACCATCTTTATTTATCAAATCTTAATGAAATTAAAGTCTAAGAGCATATGAGTTTAGTTTGGACAAATAAATAAAACATAATAAAATGTGTCAAAAATTCATTGAGGCATTTAGTTTCACTTTATGATTATGAGTGTTTGGGGGCGTGGCTCTTCACCTGACAGGCGAGCCCCCACAGCACGGGGCGGCCGATGAAGACTGCCTTGGCCCCCAGAGCTAAAGCCTTCAGCACGTCTGACCCCCGCCTCACTCCTCCGTCCATGAAGACGTCACAGCGCCCCTGCACCGCCCTCACCACCTCCTCCAGCACATCCAGCTACACACACACACACTCCTCATTTATTTCACAATAAAGTATGTAGGGATAATTCCTTAATCCTTAAATGAGTTCTCATTCTCAAAATCCTGTCTCTAAGACCATTTCTTTTAGTTTTTGGTTAAATTCTCAAAATAAGGCCTGTGGTTAGTGCAAGTTGTAAAAATGTTCCCATTTTGTTCTTCAGTATAAAAAAAACTGTAGATACCCCACTGGTGGATGTCTGTAGCTTTTCTGTGTTAAAAACAGCGGTTACTAACAAGTGTCTAAATGAGACTTAACGTCATCAATCCGAACATTAGCCGCCTTTAGCTTAGCGGTGGTAACGTTAGCCATTGCGGTTGTGCATGTCCATGTTAGCTCTTCACTTATGGCGATTGCATTTATTTTGCAAACATTTTTAAAATGGTTTTAATATGTGGAGATTATCCTACTGAACAAAACGTATTTTCTGCAATATTCCAAAATCCAATGAGAAGAAACCCACTGCTTATTGTTTAGTGAAGCCTTTCCATGCTAACTTTCAGATGGGCCGACACAAATAAGTAATTACTGCTCCATTCGATATTACAATGTTAATCTTTAGGATTAAAACGAAGCCACTAAAAGAATTGCCTTTAAATCATATTTCCTCTGTTCTGTTCCAAACTGCAATAATAAAATAGAAAAACAAATACATACCTCTGCTTGACTGTTTAACTTTGGATACCCTTTCCTGCCCCTTGTTGGAATCGTTTGCCTGTTCACTGAACTTCTGGTTGTGACCCCTGCCTGCCTTGAATCTAGTAAAGCTACTACACTGTGTTTCTCTGGGCTGTGCTTTTGGGTCTGTCACTTCAAGTCATTACAGAAGTGGCTTTGGACCAGTGGCATAATACCTGCGTTAACCAAAAAATAATGTTCTGGAGTGCAGGATTGCTGTAACCATTTAAATCAAATGGTTCGGCTCAACTCTACTCAACTCACTTTGGTACCAGGTGTTTTATCAATGTTGTTTTCCTCTGCAGATAGTACTCAATCAATGTAGGCAGGATTCCTAACTGCTCTGCGTGGCAACGATGTAATGAACTACTGTGACATCATTTTAACCCAACACAGCACAGCCACATAGCTCCATCAAGTTCTTGATGGATCCTTTATTCGAGTCAAACTTAGAAATGTAATAATCTGTGTGACAAACAAACGTTTATGATACTGACACGTTTTGTTCAGCAGGACAATCTTCACATATTAACATGATTTTTAAAGGTCTTCTATTATACAATTTTTAGGCATATATTATAGGTCTCAGATATATAAACATTTTATAAAAAACATGTCTATGAAGTTTTTTGCTCAAAATACCAAACAGATCACCCATTCTAGCCCTGCCTCATATCCCTCTATTGCAGCCCTGTTAGAGAAGTGCTGATTCTGGGTCTGTAGCTTTAGAGAAAAATGTGTGAAAAAAAGGGGGGGGAGCTTATGCCTGCTCAGAATTCTACCGAGATACTCAGCTAAATGCTGCCGTGATGAAACACCATATCATGTTCCAAACCACTTTAAGGATTATTTCTGAAACAGTATGGAGCTCAAATACTTATTTTCTTGTGGCGAGTTCCTCTTTTTTCTGCTTTTTTACACATACTCTCTCCAGTACAGGTTAGCTCTGAGTGTTAGCAATGCTTGCTAATGTTAACACAGACCATATTACTTCCAAAACACGTCGCGCATTGTTTCTCATAGCAACGTTTCTGATAGGGCCGTGGGTGTAAAGCCAGCCCACATTTCCGATATTACGTCATATCAGCAAATCTGGATCAGCTCCGTTGTACCCCCATTTTTAGAGGAAAAGAGAGAGGGTTTTGTTTTCTGACACTTTGTGAGTTCCCTGACACACCGGGGACACATATTTATGTATAAAAGACATTAAAAAGTGCATTTTGCATAATAGGAGTCCTTTAAGTAAAAAGCTAACGTTGGGCTATAAAGGAACTACAGCCCGGTCACATGACTTCACGTCACCGACGCTAAGCTAATAGAGTGGTGCAGTGAGAGTTCTAAAACCTGGAAGTGAGTTAGCATTTTACCACTACCGGTTCCCTCGTCTCAGAGCCAATGGGATTTCTCCATAGGATTTAGGAAAATACCACCGCTAAGCTAAAGGTAGTAAGTAGAGTAATATCTTTGTATATCAATTTGACACTGCTTATTTTTTGTATTGTATAATAATTCTCATGTTACATTTTTTTATTATTGTTTTACACATTCGAAAGAAATCTAATCAAATCAAATCAAACAGCTAAGCTAAAGGTGGCTAATGTTGGGCGTGATGACGTTTAGTCGTCTAATTTAGTCACTTGTTAGCAACCGCCGCTTTAATGACACATACAGTAGAATGAGAGAGCTTATGTTAACCACAGACCATATTTTGGTAAATGTAAATAAAACAAAACGTTGACTTCGAGACTTTGGAAACTGGAAGTACTAAAATGCGGACTCATTTCCGGGTTTAGGACCTGTTGCTGCACCACACTATAGGGAAGGTAGAGAATAACACTTCCTTTAAAGGGTTACACCGGCTAGCAGTTTGTTAGTTAGAATTAGAAGAGTTTGTTACAATGTTGGTTTGTCTGTTGTTAGTATACAATATGGAATAATTGTAGGTAAACATTTATTTATTTAAAAAAAGAACAATATACAGACAAACACACACTGACCGTGGCAGGAACCCCATCCAGCTGTCGAGCTCCGTGATTGGACACCAGGATACCATCGACTCCATAGTTCACAGCTTGGACAGCATCCTCAGCTGAACATACACACACACACCAAGTTGATTGACGTTGATTGAAGGTAATTCCTTCATCGGGGTAAGCAAACGTTTGTGTGTGTGTTTGCGTGTGTGTGTGTATACCATTTAGGACTCCCTTGACGATCACAGGTAGGTGTGTGTGTTTTTTCAGCCATGTGATGTCGTCCCAGCAGAGGGTGGGGTCTATCGCTTTGGCAACATAAACAGCCAAACCACTGTCGTTGCCATAGTTACCCTCAGAGAAAGCCAGGGAGGCTGATGAGAAGTTAGACAGGCTACACACACACACACACACACACACACACACACACACACACACACACACACACACACACACACACACACACACACACACACACACACACACACACACACACACACACACACACACACACACACACACACACACACACACACACACACACACACACACACACACACACACACACACACACACACACACACACACACACACACACACACACACAAGTTAGGACACTCTGTGGACTTGATGGTACTCTGCTGTTGTGGTTGCTTCCTACCTGAGGTGTGAGGGAAGTTTAAAGCGGTTGCGCATGTCATCCAATCGCCTCCCCAGGTAAGGTGTATCCACGGTAACAAATATGGCCTTATAGGCCGCCTCCTCTGCCCGGCGGACCAATGACAGAGTGAGCTCTCGGTCTCTGTAGATGTAGAGCTGCAGCCACATGACCCCGCCTCCTGTGGCTGTCATCGCTGACATCACTTCCTCTATGGTGGATGTGGCCCAGGAGCTCAGCATCATCCCTGTCCCCGCTGCTCGGCTTGCTGGGTAGAAACATAATATAACATATTTTCCACCCTCTATAAATGTGTGGCATGGATGACGAGTTGTGTTGACTAGCTCTGTAGCTCCCCTAATATGAAGTAAATACACAAAACAAATAGAAAAAGTTGACAGATTACACATAATTGTATTATGTTAGTTCAAAGTAATAATATTAAAGGTCTCCTATCATGCAAAATGCACTTTTTGATGTCTTTTATACATTAATATGTGTCCCCGGTGTGTCAGGGAACTCACAAAGTGTCAGAAAATAAAACCCTCTCTCTTTTCCTCCATACCCACATCTCTACAAACGGGGGAACAACCGAGCTGATTTCAGAAATGTGGGCTGGCTTTACGCCCAAGGCCCCATCTTCTGGTTGCGTTAGATTGGGGTCTGAGATTAAAAGTTGTTCTGAGCTGTAGCCTGCGAATGAAAAACTGTGATTTATATTTCATTTTCTAGTAGCACACAGCGTGGTACCTCTGGCTGTGGCCATCTCCCCCTCAGGGTGGGCCATCCTCTGCATGGCGGTGGCTCCCACACACACCGGCATGCTGAGCTTCTGACCCAGCACAGAGACGGACAGGTCCACTGAGGAGACGTCCCTCAACACCCGGGGGAGGAGACGCCACCTGCACAACGTCACCAGTTCATTCTTTCAGACTGCTTCACACAGTCGGAACAACAGAGGTCAAGCTGGATTAACTGTGGATAACGTGTGATAGCTGTGACACATTCAATGACACTCACACTCAACAAACTGTGTGTTTAATCTCGATTTTGCACGTTTCTATACTATTGTGAAATGGTCAAATGGGAGGTGAAGAGTCCTAAACCTTGGAAATAAGTCATAAATCAACATTTTTTGGAAGTTCTTTGGTTAGATTTATGTAATAAGGTCTGTGGGTAACAAAAGCTGAATACATTTTCTCCTTTTGTTCTACAATTTAAAATACGTCAGGAAATACCCCACTGATGAATGTCAATATTTTTTTCTTAATCAGACGACTAAACGTCATCACGCCCAACATTAGCCGCCTTTAGCTTAGCAGTGGTGACGTGAAGTCATGTGACCGTGCTGTAGTTCCTTTATAGCCCAACATTAGCCGCCTTTAGCTTAGCGGTGGTGTCGTGAAGTCATGTGACCGTGCTGTAGTTCCTTTATAGCCCAACATTAGCCACCTTTAGCTTAGCGGTGGTGATGTGAAGTCATGTGACCGTGCTGTAGTTCCTTTATAGCCCAACATTAGCCACCTTTAGCTTAGCGGTGGTGACGTGAAGTCATGTGACCGTGCTGTAGTTCCTTTATAGCCCAACATTAGCCGCCTTTAACTTAGCGGTGGTGACGTGAAGTCATGTGACCGTGCTGTAGTTGGAGTTTATATGTGGAGATGTGGTGACACAGAGATTATTTACTGTTACATCCCAAAAAGCAATGGGTCAGCCTACAAATGTACGTCATCACTGTACCCATTATAGTTCCTTTTGCAATAACTCTATTCTGTGTGTTTGGTGTGTGTATTGGTTGAGTGTTTTACATTAGTAGTGATATTATGGGAACACTGGGTCAGTCTAACATCTGGAACTAAATCAGCCTCAGACAAACAGCTGGTGAGTGAGGGAGCTCAGTGTGTGAATGACTAACTGTCCAAACGAAAATGATATTCACTCCAATAGGGTCAGTGTTTATAACATCTTATCTACTTTAAACACATGTTCAGACTGATTAAATTAATGATTAAGGACCATTTAGTAGTGAGGGTTATATTAGTTTTAGGGTATTTGGTAAGTGTTTTTTATTTTCTAATCTTTCTCTGTGAACTATCTCCAATTTTAGATAACTTCATAATATTGTTGTAGTGACTTAAAAGTTTCTAGAGCAGCCACTTCCAACATACGGGGGTGTGATTTCAACGCACAAATAATCCAAAACGATAATCCATTTTGTCAAGATGAATCCATTTATTTTCCATTGCCGCCACATACATCTTTCCTTCTCAGTGTGTCTGCTGTGTGTGGTTGAACTGGTTTAGCTTCCCCCGTCTAACACCAACCCCTTCCCCATAAACAGACATAATATAGCAAATAGGAGACCAAGGGGTGTCAACAAATATAGTTGGGGGTGTAAACAACTAAGGTGAGTAGGTAAGTATTTAACAATTAAAATAAAAACAAAACTTATATAATAAACTCAGTTAAATGGCTCCTACAATTGTAAATCAAAATGTGAATCTGTTTAGTGTCTGGGCTCATATTCTAAAGTGCTCATCAGGGTGTGCTGTTTCACATACTGTATCTCCATTCTGTCTTATGATTTCATATATATATATATATATATTTTCGAACTTTTTGTAAATAAATAAATAGAATTTTGGGCCGCCATATAGCTCAATAGCTAGAGATGGCGGCTGGGGCCCTGGGCCATTTGCCACATGTCATCCCCTCTGTCTGCATGTTTCAACTCTTACAATAAAGACACTGGTAGCCCAATTTAAAAAAAGACATTGATTTGAATGAAATCCACCCAGCATTGGATAAACTTAGTGAGCCAGATCGTGACAGTCTGCTGGGTTAGTTGGGCTTTAACCAGTCACAAGGGACTTTATCATTGGGATCAGTGTACCAACACTGATGTTTGCTGAACCAGAGATGATGAAACAGTCAGACTGATGCTTAACATCAGGTGATATAGAAGAGTTGACTTTATAGACAAAAGGAAATTAAATCTCTTGGCGTGGAGCCTTCAAACAGTGTTGAGTGAGGTTTGACAGATTGATATATTCCATTGAGATAAGATTACCATTATTAAAGGTTTAGGCAAACATCATCTCACTGTCCTTACTGACAGTTTGATTTGAATACAGTTTGTTTTGTGTAAACTGTACACATGGAATGTAGTCACAGTGCACTGTACTGCACAGTTGATGAGTGACAAACACTGAGCAGAGCTGCTCTAATCATTACCAGCGTGTTTTTAAAGGGACGAGGGGCACAGTTAGCGTTTAACCTAAAAAAGAAGTTGGTAAAGAAAACAAAAAGTAAAATGAGGAAAGATACACCAACATTTACTAAAAGCGTTGCATAAACGAAAAGCAGCAAAAAAACAAAAACACTTTAACAACTGAAACTAGGAGACACAAAAAAGTGAGGCACACAGCGGGGACGGGGGCACTTGGTGACGTTCAGGATTATAAAGTTGGACAACTGTCTCTGTTGTCTGTTATAATTGTATACCCAGTATATTTGAAATGAATAGGTTAGCTAACTTGCTAACAGCAGATCTACAGTAATATCAGGAGTCTTGTGATCACATTTTTTAAATAAGCTGAAAAACAAACATTTTAGTTACATTTCCAACAACAGAGACAGTTGTCCAGCTTTATAACCCTGAACGTCACTAAGCACTCCGGTCCCAGCTGTGTGCGTCACTTTTTAGTGTCCCCTGGTCTCCGTTGTGTTTTAAACTTCTTGCAGCGTTTCATTAAGGCAGCACTTTTAGTAAACACGTTTGGTAAGTTGGTGAAGACGTTTCTCCTAATGGAAGTGTTTTGGGCCGTTGTTACGCATTTGCACCTGTCAGCCACCGTACGTCTCGCACTCAGTAGGCCTATACACAAAATATGAAGTCCAGAACAAACCCAGAGGATTATGGGCATTGTGGTCATCATGTACCTTTATACCTGTACATCTCCTAACATATCTTAGTAAACACACACTTATACACAAGTATACATAGTGTCCATTGAGGAACGTTATATGGGCCTGCTATGGCACAAGGGACTAAACTCCTGCCAAAGGAAGGAAGCCTCAAGCATTATATGTTTCACTTTCTAAGTAAGAGGGGCCCCTAGGAGGGACATTATTCAAAAATAACCTTTAGAGTATATGCACACATTTTATTAACATGTAGGCTAAGTGATGCACATGTTGTCACAAGGATAATAAAAAGAGGAAGAAAAACAGCTGCTTGAGACAATACAAAACACAATAATGATATTATGAAATCAATCAGAAAACAAGAAATGACACAACAGAACCAGAGGAACATGTTCACCTGCAGTCAGGTGTTGCACCAGAGACACTGAGGTGGAATAATGATATGATATTGGAATGGATTTAACCACTCTGTCTTCTTTGTATCAGACTCCTGCTGTGCTTTAAAGGCTGAGGCACAAAGTAGATGTGTTGGAACATCATGCTAAGACTCTGTCCAACAGAGCTGCTCAGTGTGTGTGTGTGTGTGTGTGTGTGTGTGTGTACCTGTTAAAGGCAGCCACATTGTCAGCCAGTGTGCTCTGCTCATCAGCTCCTGAGCGGTAGTAATCGTAAACGGCTTTAGGAAGAACTTTCTCAGCTTCTTTCTCGAAGTCGGACACACACACACGCTGTCCTGCCATGGCTGTCCCCTGAGCGTCTGTCCCTCACACACAGGACACACACACTGATAAACAGAGCCGCTGTAATCATTAACCTGCTGCAGCCGGCCTCTTCCTAAGCATCACTTCTGAGGGGGGCAGTTTACACAAGATAACAGAACAAACACTACATGTTATTTAGCTTTTATCCAAACCACTCATAGACCCTCTGTCCTCCGATTGGCTGCCCTTTATACAGTGTGTTTAAGCTGAAACTAGGCAAGCAGCATGTTTACAAAGACATTGTAACACTTTTTTCATTATTTTGAAGTCTATGAGGATTATGAAATAAAATTGACATTGATATTATTGGTAGTTATATATAATTCTTTTAAATCTATAATGCTAAAATTAAATCCTCACTTTGGTTCCAAACATACTGTCCAAATGAAACAGTATGTTTATTGCTTTTAGGGATATTTCCAAATATCTGGAACAAACTGCCAGAAACCTGCCGGTCCGCTGCAACTCTTAAATCCAGGCTGAAGGCTTTTCTTTTTGCCTCTGGTTTTAACTGAACTATTGACATCTTGCACTGCACTGTAACTTTTATTCATGTTTTATTATCTTTGCTTTTCAATGTTTGCGTTTCCACTGCACTATTTCTTAATGCTCTTATTGTCTCTCATTTTTGTAAAGCATTTTGAATTGCCTTGTGTTGAAAGGTGCTGTATAAATAAACTTGCTCTGCCTTTGTCTTCCCCCTGTAGTAACCATGGCTGCAAAATGCTAAACTGTCTATTTCATTTCATGATATGAGTAAAGATTAAAAAAAAGAAATTAGTGCTACTGATACCAGTGCTTGAATTGGAATAAAAAAGGTGCCAGTACTCTAAATCAGCAACTGTTTCAAGTCAATTTATTTATACAGCCCAAAAACAAGAATTTGGCTCAAAGTCATAGTATATCCTAATACTGGTGGGTTTGTCTCTTTACTGTATATTTTAGAAAGGCTCACTGTACTTAAACAAAATGACTCAGGGTGCATCTGAGATTAGAGGGGGTGCAGGGGTAAAGTGCTATTTTTATAAGTGGGGAGTGGACCTGACACCCTCTAGGGGGGTCCGGGGGCCAGCTCCCCCGGGAAGATTTTTTTTTAAATATTGAAGTTAAATGCATCAATCTGGTGCACTTTGAGAGCAAAATGAAGAGATAGATACCTCTCAACATCCATATGAAACAGAACTGTAAACAGATTTACTTTTTCTTTATGGATATAAAAGAAAGTAAAGCCTGACTCCTACTGGCGGCTGGTTAAATGACTCCTCGTCCCTGAGTACACTCACCATCTTTCAGCAGGAAAGGAGAGAGGGAATCAATGAGAGACGGGAGAGAAGGCTCTGTGGGAGCTAGTGCTACAGAACTTGGAGCAGGAGGCTCGACCAGAGAAGGCTCCCCGTCAGACAACATTTCTAACACAGGCACAGCATTTCTGTATTAGCAGTCGGCTCCTTGTCCGGCGACAACCAGCGGCATCTCATGACGCATGACGCATCTAGGTGCATCTACGCTGGGCATATTTCTTGTCATGCATCATGACCATAGACTGTATATATATATAAAAGGTCATGACGTGCCGCCGGCTGAGTATGCGGCTAAGTACCGGCATCTTACTGAGTACCGGCACCTTGCCGGTACTCAGTAAGATGCCGGCACCACATGGGTAAAAATCAGAAGTGCCGGTACTGTGTACCGGTGAGTACCGGCCCAATTCAAGCACTGACTGATACAATCTGACAATCGTACAGATGAAAGAATGAGGAGAGCCAAGTGTCCTCACCGAGGTAACAGAGCAACCTGTGGCCAGGCTTTAATGCGGTCACATATAGAACATGAGCCTCAGGGGGACCAGGGAACTCAACAGAATTCAGGGTCCTTTACATGAGCAGTCCGTCCTTCTTTACTTAGGAATTCTCCTGGTCAGAATTCCTTGAATTAATTGACATACTATCAGGAAAAGACATGGATATGTTTGGGGACGAAAGAGTGCCTTTATTTTAGATGCAGTGTTGAAGGGGAGGCAGGGGGGGGGGACGGACGGACATTGCCTAATCATTTTGCAGGCGTGAGTCAGACCCGCGTAATATCTAGAAGCTGTATAAACAGCTGGAGTTATACAAACAAATAAATGAGGTTTCTTGCGTCTATGGATTCTCATTGTTCATTAGAAACACTCCACACTTCATAGGTCAATGTTTATTTGGCATCCAACAAAATCCAATAAAAGCTTTAAGAATGAACATTTTGCACCATCACCAAAAAGATCAATTCTCCCACTAAAAATGTAAAACTAGTAAGTCAATATTAATAAAATGCAAGCATTGGGGGGGGGGGGGGGGGGGGGGGAGGAGTATGTATGAGGCAAGCAACAGCTTGTGACAGGCATTTCAAAAAAGGCAGAAAACATCTACAGGTCTAAAGAAGGACAGAAGAGTTACAGAGCTCACACAGACTGAAGAAACACACCAAGAAAAAGAGTGAGGCCGCCCTCGTGGAGTGACGTCACCTCATGCTCTACGAGATGAGACATCAGAAACTAGTCACATGACAGGCCGTTCACTTAACCACAGAGCACAAAGAACCTCCTCAGAAAACAACTCCAATCAACAATTCTGTAAAAGTTTTGACTGTTTATCAACCAAAATACACTTTGATTGTTCCCCTTCATTTCCTTCACTGCAGCTGCTGGGTGGTGTGGATTCAGGATCCTGAAGAACCTTCGCTCTCAGCTCCTGCCAACCCGCTGCCAATCACAACGGAAAAGATTAGAGAAAAACAAGTGTGACCATGTGAGTGGCCCATCTGAGCCCCCCCGGTGAAGTCCCACCCACAGCGCGGCGGCTGTGTGCTTCAGAGGGAGGCGGCTCACTTCCTGCTTCACCCTGCCCTCAGGTGGACTCTGATTGGCTCAACAGGATGCAGTGATTTATGGGTACAACTTGACGGTGAGCTATGCAGGTGAGGGGGGGGAAGGTGTTTCTAAGTCGAGGGTGAGGAGGCGTTTGCCTTCCTTCCTTCCCCCTCCCCCCATCCGGCACTGCGTTGCCTGGTCAAACCCCAGAAAGGAGGGCGGGGCGGCAGGCCCACAAAGCGTGTGTTAGCCCGCTCGCCGGAGGTTGGGGGGGTGTGGTTGCAGCGGTGCTACGAGGTCGCTGCACCGGTTTGGGTGCCCAGGAGTTTGGGAGGCGGATTGAGCATCCGCCTCCCGTTCGCTCCCCCCAGTGTGGCCCGGTGCTGCTGTTCCGACACCCCAGACCCGCTGGACTCTGGTGGATCTCCAAGCCTTCGCTGGAACAAAGACATGAAGGAGCAGGCGCTCACACCCAGGCCGTCCAGCCCTCATACAGCTGAGCCAGGTTCTCCATGCTGGTGGCTTCTTTGATCACCACGTCCACCTGAAACACAGCGACACATGAAGATCACATGAGCATCAGACACTGCTCAGTTCATTCAATATTAGTACTGATAATATGCCAGACTCTGAGAGACTTACAGGGAGACTTCCAGCTGATAAGCCACAAACACACTTTGAAATGAGTTGCTTTTCTCAACCCACCCTCCATTTATCCATTCCTGGATGTCTCATTCTAGGTACCGTCTAAGGTGCCTGTTAGCTAGTTAATTAAACAAGTCAGACAAAGGTGCCACTAGTCGCTGAAAAAGAGTGACTAGTAGAATTTTGTATTCAGTAAAACAGAGTGCCGAGCTATTGTGACTATACTACAATATGCTATGACTAAGTGCTAACAAAGAGCAAACCAGTGTAAGCGTCTGATATCAAGGGCATGGAATGAATACACAAACGGATGCCATAGGAGTGTGCCTGAGACAGAACCCCCACCCTGAGGCTCAGTGCCTGGACTTCAGACCAGCCTGACAGACAGCATCCACCTTCACCCCCCCTCTATGTCCCATTCATTGTGCCTCCTTCATTAAATCTTTAAAATGACATTGTTGTGGCGTGTTACCTGCTAGTGAAATGATGATTAAATGTGCCGTGTGTGTGTGTGCGTGTTACCTGCTCTGTGACGCTCATCCTCCTGTTGGGGTCGATGTCTCTGCCCTCCAGCTTGGCCTTCACCCTCTTCCACACACTGACTGCGTACGAGTTCCTCTCCTGGACCGCTGCAACACAATCAATATCGAGCGTTCATTCATGCTCCTTTCAGTTTTTCTTTTATTCAAAGTCTACCTCAACCTTCTCTAAATAACTGACAACATGTGTTAGCATGTCTATTAAAAGTCTGAAAGCCACATCTCTATTCAAATGTCTATGTTTAGTCACGCTGTGAGGGTGACAGACGTGTAACAGGTAGTTAAAGGTTGAGCAGCGTCACTGTGTTGCTCCTGAAGCTATGGGGGGGGTAATATGAGCAGTCAGTCAGTGAAGAAGTACCTCGTCCTGTTTTGGGGTCCCGTACCGCCCTCTTGGGGCTGGGGTTGAGGCCTTTGCTGTTCACCAGCAGAGTGCTGGGGGGGGTGTCAGTGGGGGTTCCCAGGTTACGGGGGAGAGCCTTCCGTGCATTCTGGGACATGGAGTCTGGCTGGGTCTTCACCCCACTGCATTTAACAGCTGAGGAAAAGCAGATATGACATGTTCAAAAACATACATGAGTGTTCTATCGTAGAGAACAGCAAATTAAATTCAGGCAGGTTTAATAAACCATGAAGCGGTAAGGACTAACGCAGAAACCTAATCATGAACCTAGAGGTGCCTATTTCTCTATGTGTTTTGTTGACAGAGCTGCACAATATGAACATTGAGACTTGTGCAACAGTCACAACACAGGAAGTGCAATGTCACGCAAGTTAGGAACAGCAAAATGTCATGCTACAAGTTTTTGCCACAATACTTAAAGGTGGGGTAGGTAAGTTTGAGAAACCAGCTCGAGATCGCTAGAATTTTAAAATACACAACCGGAGAAAATCTGCCACTTCCTTACAGAGCCCCTCCTCCAACACACACGAACGCGCACATGACCCTTGAGGGCACGAGATAAGTTTGTGCACAGATGGAAGGCTGACAGGCAGGTAGGCCATCCAGTTATTTTAGCCGGGCCGGCTAAAATGATTGGTCGTACTTTTTACAGTACCACGGCTTCCACAGATGACATTTTTTATGGATTTTTTGTCAAAGCACTTAACATTCCGATAGCAATGAATATCTTAAGAGCATTCCATGGAATATAACAAAAAGTGTATCTCGAGCCGGTTTCTCAAACTTACCTACCCTACCTTTAAGGAAAATAAGAACAGTTTTTATTGACTGAGGAGATCATTTACTGGGTTATATATCTCTGGATGTGACAGCTGCAGTGTCCTACCTGCTGCGAAGCTGGTCTGAGCGGCAGACACAGGACTGGAACACTCCCCCTCTCTGTCTGTCACCAGAGGGGAGGCAAAGCTCACCAGGCCATTGTACACACTGTAGAGGAGCACACACAGTGTTAGCACAGTATGTATACAGTGTGTGTGTGTGTGTGCGCATGTGCGTGTGTGAGCACCTCTGGCTCTGGGCGTGCAGCTCCTTCAGGGTGGGGGGGATCTCCTCCAGCAGCTCCAGCTGCTCCTGGCTGCGAGGCTGCCCGCTGGCCTGCACCACCGTGAACAGCACCAGCTGAATGTTGTCCTGCCAGGCTTTGTACTCCAACAGGAAGTACCGCACGCTGCCCTCATAGGTCACCTCCTCCCCGTCCGCCAGCGCCGCCTCCTCATCCTGTTTGGAGAAATAACACAGAAACACAAATGATACTGACCATCCATGTATAAAATAAAATAAGGTCCTAAGTGTTATGACTTCACTTCAAATGAATTAAATGTTCACAGACTTGCAGTGGTGTACGGGTCAGTGTGCAGGTCAGTGTGCAGGTCAGTGTGCAGGTCCAGGTCAGTGTGCAGGTCCAGGTCAGTGTGCAGGTGCAGGTCAGTGTGCAGGTCAGTGTGCAGGTCAGTGTGCAGGTCAGTGTGCAGGTCAGTGTGCAGGTCCAGGTCAGTGTGCGTGTGCAGGTCAGTGTGCAGGTCAGTGTGCAGGTCAGTGTGCAGGTCAGTGTGCAGGTCAGTGTGCAGGTCCAGGTCAGTGTGCAGGTGCAGGTCAGTGTGCAGGTGCAGGTCAGTGTGCAGGTCAGTGTGCAGGTCAGTGTGCAGGTCCAGGTCAGTGTGCAGGTCCAGGTCAGTGTGCAGGTCCAGGTCAGTGTGCAGGTGCAGGTCAGTGTGCAGGTGCAGGTCAGTGTGCAGGTGCAGGTCAGTGTGCAGGTCAGTGTGCAGGTCAGTGTGCAGGTCAGTGTGCAGGTCCAGGTCAGTGTGCAGGTCCAGGTCAGTGTGCAGGTCCAGGTCAGTGTGCAGGTCAGTGTGCAGGTCCAGGTCAGTGTGCAGGTCAGTGTGCAGGTCCAGGTCAGTGTGCAGGTCCAGGTCAGTGTGCAGGTCAGTGTGCAGGTCAGTGTGCAGGTCCAGGTCAGTGTGCAGGTGCAGGTCAGTGTGCAGGTCAGTGTGCCGGTCAGTGTGCAGGTCCAGGTCAGTGTGCAGGTCCAGGTCAGTGTGCAGGTCCAGGTCAGTGTGCAGGTCCAGGTCAGTGTCTTGTCCTACCTTGGACATGGCTCTCAGCAGGTGCTTGACGTCGGCCAGCTGGCGGTTGTGGTTGGACAGAGTGGTCTTGATGGAGTCCACCAGCAGCTGCAGGGTCTCTCCGCAGGACTCCAGCTGCTGCTCCCGCTCCTCCCGAGTCCTCCGCTCCACGCTCAGCTCCTCCTCCAGCTGCCTCTGGGCACAGCTCAGCCAATCAGCACTGCCGATGGGCAGGTCCAGCCCCGGGCTCTGTACAGATCAACAGAGAGGATAAAGTAAGGTGTGGACTTTCTCTCTTCTAGTTCAGCTATAGGGCAGTTTCTTTTTTAACGAATGGGCCCCTGTATAGGCCTGTCACGATAATTAATTTTGTTGGACGATACATTTTCCCGGAAATTATTGCGATAAACGATAATATTGTCGGCACCGTTGTAAGACCATTTTAGACCACTGACAGAGTAGAGTGGCCGGTCACATCTTTATGTAAACAAACGCGCATGTAAACGGCAATTTATCGAGGTCAGAAAAGTTATCTAGTTCATTTAATTGCTTATCGCGACAGGCCTAACCCTGTATTGTTTTTTCAAGGATGCACCTGAATCATCTAATTATAACTAAAATGTTTTAATTGTAAGAATGTCTGACATGTAAAGGAACGGCCTAATATTTTAATGAAGAAATGACATCACAAACGCATGGCAGTGCATCACCACCTCTATGCTAAAAGCGGCTACATTTGGACGTGACTTTTAGTCGTCGATTTGGTCACCTATAATCAGACATTCACCAGTGGGGTATTTACTGATGTGTTTTATGCTGTAGAACGAAATATAAATATCTCTTCGGCTTGTATTAACCACAGACCCTATTCCAGGCATCTAACCAAAAACGCTTAAAAATACATTGACTTTGAGTAGAGGGAACCGGAAGAGGTCAAATGCTAACTCATTTCCAGGTTTCACGACTCATTCCTGCAGCTCAGTATACAGCCTGTGTGCAGGTCGGAGGTCACCCACCAGTCGGTGCAGCAGCTGGAGCTCCAGTGGAGACACAGTGCTGCTGAACTGGGCTGCGTATGAGCAGGTCTGCTGGCAGCGCTTCAGCAGCTCAAACAAAGCGGCGTCCATGTTCAGAGCCTCGGGGGAGCGGGTCCGGAGGCCTTCAAAGTTCAGGATGGTGGAGCACAAGAAGGTGACCTGGGAAAAAGATCACAAACATGGGTTGCGTTCGAATACTCCAAAAAAACAGCTCCTAAGTTCTAACCCTATCGTCTATTCCTTGACCTCTGAGTGAAAGGTCACGGGGTTAAGGGATAGTGGATAGGAGAATTCAAAAGGATTTAGGAGAAGAGACTGCGGCACTTTAGAGAATCCGACTGCACTTTCACTATCCCACGTGTTTATGATGCACCAGCGGAGGTCATAAATGTGCGCCTGCTGCTGTGGGGAAACTATGGAAACTACAGTTTTCTATACAGCGGACTACAACATGGATGTTTAATAAGAACGAGGGACTACTGTAAACTCATCTAGAGACTCTGCACCGTGCTCTGATGCTGTTGTTTTATGCTTTATGAACGTGGACAACAGAGAAACATATTCTTCATGACCAAAGTTGGAATTGAAATAAAAAAGGAAAGTGAAACTTATGCTCGTCACCCTCTCCCTCCGGTCCACATTAATACAAATGATCCCAATACGTATGATTGTATGAAAAGATCTTAAAATCAATACAAATGTATTTATTATAAACGTTAGTCCTTAACATCTATCACTGTGTATATCACCATTCAAACATCTTTTAAAAGTTGAACAAACCCCACACAGCTCAGTAAAGACTGTGAAATGTTGACTTTATTTAATCATTTCAGTAAAAACTAACGTTCATATTTCTCTTTTTGATTATAATACTGATGAACGTTCAAAACAAAGCACTTTGGCAACTTACCACATACGTTTTAAAAAGCTTAATAAGCACCGTAACTTTCATGATATCATTTCTCGTTCATAATCGGTTGTTTCCGTGAACGGCCGACTGTTGTGTGACGGCAAATGCTGCGGCCGCAAGGCATTGTGGGGCAGCATTTTCTCCTCTCCTTTCGGTTAGGGAGGTCCAGTGGTTCCTAAGCTAAAGGAGGTTATAAAGGAAGTTTGAAACCTCCTTTCCTTTTAATTTAGAGAATTCGAACGGCACTTATCATGGCTGCCACTGAGGGACTTCCGGGTCATTTCACTCCGTTAGGAAGGTTCCTAAGCTAAATGGACTATTCGAATGCAACCATGGGTCATCTATCAGGTGCTGGGGCTGCTAAAAAACTCTGATGGAAGTTTCACAGTGGGCTTGGAGCAGTGGTGTTACCTGGCTGGTGCGCTGGTTCTCTCGGGCCACCATGGCGCGTCTCTCCCTGATGGTCATCTCAAAGTCCTGCAGGACAGGGGCGAGCGCTGGGTTGGCCCCCCCCGCCCACTTCAGGCGCTGCTCGATGCTCGCCTCCAGTGCCGCCAGCTTCTCCTGAGGACACAGTCAAACTGCATTTTAGTATTCAGCAAAAACAACCCAACAAGAAAAAAAGGATTTCCTTTTTACCCAAATTACAATCATTGGCAACAAGTGCCAACTATTGCTCACAATGTAAATACATGCTTTATAGTTTGGCATTTCCTTAAATTGATAAAGGCTCCAGTATGGGACCATCTCTAAAGGGGAGGGGCATTTGATTGATGGATGACACACAGTACGGTGTAATGCTCTGATACTGACCTGAATAGCCACGATGGATCCCTCATCCTGACTCAGCTTGTAGAGTTTCTTCTTCATGTTGCTGAGGATGACGGAGCGCGGGGGGATGCTGACACTCAGAGGCTGGTTGTTGGGGCCCAGAACATCCTCATGCTGCCACTAAGGGGGTAACATTCAGAATAAAAAACACATGTATACCTGAAAGACACTGTGCTGACCTTTTTAAAAAAATGTTAAATACATGACATCATCACTAACTCAACTTGCTAGTGTAGCTCGCATCTATTACAGGTTGATCAGAAACAGAGTACTTTATTCATCCTGGGGGAAATTAGGTTCTGATTACAATCGCTCCATTTAGAATGAAATAAAGTCAAAGATACATTGAACAAAATGGAATGATTAAAGTTAAAGTAAGAATGTCCAATAAAAGATACAATAAGATAAATATATTTTGTATTATTATTATTACACAAACAATTAAGTACAAATCCTGAGCCTTGTGAGTTATAAGATTAATTTGTTCCTGGTGACTGAGTGTACCTGGAACATGGCGATGTGCAGCTGGCTCCTCTGCAGGCTGGCCTTGGCGGCCTCCAGGTTTGAGTCCAGCCTCCTCAGCAGGTCCACCTTCTTCCAGGCCGTGTCGTAGGAGGAGGCCAGCACCGTGGCCCTGTTCAGCAGCAGCTGGGGGCCCCGCCCTGACGCCAGGCTCTGCTCCACCGCCTTCTTACACAGCTCATCCAGAGGCACCTTCAGACAGAGCAGACAGGGGACTGCTCACACGCTGACCATCGCAGGGACCTCTCTCTACACATGTTGAACACTAAACCCTTCTTTAAAGCAAATATACCCAGCTAAGAGTTTAATATCTTCAGAAGATAAAGTGCACTGAGTCCCAACTCACAAAGTGACTGTATTTATGCCTATAAAATTACCCTCCGCTGAAACCCATATGCAATTGGTGTGGAAGTTTGACACATGCATATCATCAAAATGTTCTCCTTTGAGCAAAAACCTCATTGCTCGAGTATTTGAATTTTTCTTTGACAAAGCAACTTCACATTTGATGGTGAAATGGTCATTTTTTTTTACACTCTACTCAATAGGATGAGTTCGTAAAGGTTTGGTATAAAAATACTGGAGAAAAAAAATGCACATTAATCCAAATGGCCAACTTCTGGGTGGGTGTGGCTAATGAAAGCCCATTTGTAATATGTTCACAGTAGAGCAATGTTGATACCAAATTTCATGAACATCAGAGAAACTATAGTGGGCTTCCACCCAGTGCGGGGGGCTACATGTTATCACATGTACAAAATACCTGTACATTAGACCAAAGGTCTCGGGCTCTGTTGTACCTTGTTCTCTGCTCCGAAGTCTTTGGCCTCCACCTGAGCCACCACGTCGAGGCCGAGGGCCGACAGGGTGCTGCAGAGGGCCAGACCCAGAGCCTGGCCCGGCAGACCCATCAGCATCTGCCGGACAAACTCCGCCGTGAAGGCCTTGATGGGGCGGGTCATCTGCTCCTCGCTCACCACGGCCACGCCGGGCCCTGAGGCGCTGGGCCGCCGGTACAGAGGCTTACCCAGAGCAATAGGGCCATTCGTAGGCATCAGATCCTCAGTGGGGGGGCAGGTACCTGAACAAACAAGATGTCACACACTCTTTAGACAGCAGGTACATGAGATGATGAGCGAAGTTTCAACAATGGTAAATATTCCTGTACAGCATGAATTGGTCTGAATATTGTGATATGTTACTGCATGAGGGGAAATCAAACATTTCTTCCACAATTCTTGTATAAAGTTTAGCTTTAAAGTGTTGCAGTTATGACGTATTTTTCTAGGCTGATCCGGAAGGTAGCATTACAGGGGCTCCCTAAAAAAAAGGCAATGGAATTTCTCCATTGGAATTCAGAATGATTGCAGTAAATAAAATCAGTGTCAAACATGTCTATGATACTTCCACATTTTGTTCAGCAGGATCATCTCCACATATTAATAATCGTTATGAATATTGATGCGTAAATGCAATCGACAGAAGTAAAAGCTAACGTTAGGCTATAAAGGAACTACAACACAGTCACATGACTTCACTTCGCACCCGCTATGTTAAAGCAGCTAATGTTTGGCATGGTGTTTACTAGTTTCTTTTAGACACGTTTTAGCAACCGCTGTTTGTCAGATGCGCAAAAGCTTCAGACACTCACCAGTGGGATATTTACTGACGTATTTTATGTCGTAGAACAAAACGTGAAAATCTCTTCCAAGCATTTCAACACGTTAATTGAATTGTGCTAATTGCACACTAAATTCTGTCCTTAAATTCTTATTTTGTTATTTATTTAGCATGTGACTGGTCATAAGTGAGTGGATGGGGGCTGATCATTGGTCTGAAAGAACTTGCTGAGTTCATTGTGAGTCCACAGCTACTTGTATCAGTGCAGAAGTCTCACCAGACAGAGTCTGAGCGAAGGAGGCACACAGCCTGAAGAAGTCCCTGATGGTCTGCAGCCTCTTGAGGAAGAACACCTCCTCCATGAGCTGTCTCTGACTCGGGTTGTCAAAGAAGTGAAGCTGCGTGGCTCGAGCCTCCCTCAGGACATCCACCTTCCTCCAGGCCAGCGGCAGCTCTAGTGAGCTCAGCTGAAGGTGAGGAAGAGGAGAATGTGGTAAGGGACTCAAGGTAACTGCAAATAACCGTTAATCATACAAACAATCTAGAATGGAAGCATGAGGATGGGAAATCTCAATATAAAACGACTATCTAACATCTGCAAGAAGGCTAAGGGTTACCTTCTCTGTGAGCTGTCCGAAGGCAGTCTCCAGCTGGGTGAACATGCCATCAAAGGCCACCAACAGCATCTGCCCCGCAGACATCTTGGGTGTGTCCTGCCCCGGGCCCTCCATGTTGCGAGGCTGGATCAGCTCAGAGTACTGGGCACGCAGCATCCTGAGCACAAACAAACACATTTGTTCAGACTCTTTTGTGAAAAACAAACAAACAAGGTTATCATGAATCCTTAAGATCCCCAAATCAACATGGTGCAAGTCGGTACTTTCCTGCATACAATTCCTGTAATAAGAGGGGCCCTATTATGCTAATGTTCAGGTTGATATTTGTATGTTGTGCCTTTACTGTGTTAAATGCCTCAATGTTAAAAAAAAACTCCCTCTGGAGGGAACACAGGGATGTTGGCCTTTGCAGACCATTGACATGCACTAACACCTAGAGAACACACCACAGGAGAGGGGAAACCCCAACATCAGAATAGGGACCCTTTAAAACAATTCTACATTGTCCCATTCATAGGTTTTCGATCACTTAAGCCAGGGGTGGGGAATCTCCAGCCCCCGGGCCGTATACGGCCCGCGAAACCATTTGGTACGGCCCTCGAGGTAATTTATAAACACACGAAGAAAAAAAAAAAAATTAAAGAAATCTAGACCGCAAAAAAATTAAAAAAGCGAGTGCCTGTTTTTCCTGGACACAACATGAGCCTAACGTGTCATCACGTGGTATATGTCTGGTCTGACAGGGGTGCAGTTCTGCAGGAGAGCACCAGAACGCCGCTCCGGCACTTCACAAATGTCAGTACCCATAAGGAGCCGTACACATGCCGCAGTTTTTGGCAAAAATCTGGATATCTGGATTAAGAGGTTGCTTTTTCTTTGCACAGCATGAAAGAAAGGCGAAATTAATGGGCTGTGATTTTAGTATTTTTAAGCAGAGGTCAATAATTTGTACGGCCCTTGGAGGATGTTGAAAAAATTGAAATGGCCCTTGAGAGGAAAAAGGTTCCCCACCTCTGACTTAAGCCAACACTGTCTGATTTGACTCCAGTATAAAGCCGTTCCTCACCTGGTGATGTGGAGGCAGCGGTTGTGCCCGTCGGGCTCCAGCCCTGTGGTTGCCTGGAGACTGTCCACCAGGCCCTGCAGGCCCAGCCCGTCAGAGCTCTGCTCCACCAGCTGCTCCAACTCCCCCAGCATGGTCTCCAGGGTGGGCTCTCCCTTCACCATGCAGCGCAGAGCCTCCGGGAAGATGATCTGACGGAAGTTGGTGTTCAGCTCCTGCAGGAGAGAGACAGTCAGACACGCTGCTCTGACAGAGACCTTTGTGACCTGCTCCATCAAAATCACTCACATGGACCCCGACACACATTTTCAGTTACACACACTGTTGGCAGTTCTCCATATTCTGAGAAAAAGGCCTTTAGGTTTGCTGACAATATTTTTAGCCTCAACGCTGAATTAAGCGATATTATTTTAACATTCTGAAAGCCAAGGCTTCTTTTTAATATATAAATCAGAAGGAAAAAAACCCTGCTGTGTTACTATCAGTCTGTCATTCTTTACTTCAGGGAGACGTAGGGAGGGGGGGGAGCGGTGCTGATCAGAGTGAGAGGAGACAGTGATCACTGAAGTTGACACCCTGTCTTTACAAGCTTCCAAAATATATTAATTGTCAGAATATGGCGATAATATTTTCATATTCTGAAAGCCAATAGAGGGTTGTCTTTCTATGTTATCTCGGAATGCGCTCGCAACATCAGACTGATTCTCACTCACAGTTACACACATCTAAAAAACTGATGTGTTTTGAGAGTGTACCCACCTGTAAGCAGGTGTGGACAGCGTTGGCCAGGTACACGGCCTGGGTGGTGGCTGAAGGTGCCGGCAGGTCCAGGTCGTGGGGCAGCAGGGGGCATCGCTGCAGCAGTGTAGCCAGAGCACTGACGTTTCCCATCATGCTGCAGAGCTCCTCCAGGAACCAGGCCCCGTCCCGAGAGATCAGGTCCACCAGCTGCTCCCCTGCACTGGCTGCTGCGCCCTCCATCACCAGGTTCCTCCTGGAACAAAACCTCCGTCACTCCTGTTCACAGGAAACTTTCTTCCCCTTATGGAAGCACCACATGTCTGAAGGACTAGGTCTAATTAGATGTAATTGTGGTATTTTAAAGTTTTAGTAATAAAGCTGAATAATGATTTTGGTAATGGTAAATAGAATGTATTTAGAAAGTACTTTACCAATGGTGGAGTGATACTAAAACAATAACTCAATTACTGTTAAGTTAAAATTGAGTTACTATTTTAATATTATGCTACTACTGTATATTCAAATAAACCCCATATTTGACCCAAGTGAAATAATAAAACACATTATTGCATCGATACTTGTAAAAATATATGTTGCTGAAATGGGCCATTCTGCATAATGAGTACTTTTACTTCTGCTACTTAAGCAAAAGTAAATATGTATTAGCATCAAAATAAACTGAGTCATTTGTACACTGTAGTATGAGCTTTAACTAGATCCGAGTACTTCTACCCCAACACAGAATGAGAGACATGTCTAATTGCTGCTCATTGTAATGTTTCATATATTTGTATCTTATTGAATCTTTTAAACATATTAAATTGTGGAAGACTTGACACTGCTGCTGGAACAAAATGATTTCCTGATGTTGGGATAAATAAAGTATCTCTCCAACCTGCAGAGCGTGCACAGGGCCGATGTGATGATGCCGGCCAGGCTGAGGGCCCCCGGCTCCTCGTTCTCCCGCAGGAACACGCTGATGCAGTGCTCGATCTCCTGCAGCTGCTCCTGGCAGGCGGCTGCCGTGGTGCCCTCCGCCTTCAGCCGCTCCGCATGGTGCAGCACGCGCTCGTTGGTTTCAGCCGCCTGGTGCTGCAGAGTCAGCTCCACACTGGACAGGAACTGGCAGGAGGCGGCGGGGGGGCTGCGGGGCGAACAGCACCTCGTATCTGTCAAAAGAGGGAAACAAAGCTGTAGGCATTGCAACATGACGGGAGGAGGCACCAGGCCCTGAACCAGGGGGGGTCAAACTCATTTTAGTTCAGGGGCCACATACAGCCACATTTGTTCTCAAAGTGGGCCGGACCAGTGACATCATAGCATAATAACCTATAAATAAGGACAACTCCAAATTGATCCCTTGGTTTTTGTGCAAAAAATACATTTTGAAAATGTTCACAATGAAGGAACTATGATTTTACAAAAACATTATGAACAACCTGACATTAAAGAAAAATAAGGGCAATTTCAACAACATTTCTTAGTATCAGGAACTGAACAATATAGTATTTGACTTTAGGATCTAAAAAACTTGTCAAGATGTAGAAACGTATTTGACATACATTTCTACATCTGTGTAGTAATCCTGACACCACACAGACTAAAGTGGGAACTATTAAGGAAGAAGGTTCAGTTAAGGTTCAGTTAAGGTTAAGTTAAGGTTAAGTTAAGGTTCAGGTTCTGCCTAGTCAAATGTATACATACAAAATACATCAAAGCTGTGAAAATAGCAGTTAATGTCTTCAATTTAATATATACACTTTGCAAAGTCATCCCGTATGTTGGACACTCATGTTCTAAACAATGAGCCCCCCAGGTGTGTGTTTATACACACTGTTAGCCAGCTCGTTCATTCAGCGCGAGCCAGATAGTAACAGTTTATTAGAATCCATTAACCCGATGTTAGGCATGCAGGAAAAGGGTCCGAGGCAGCTTACTGTCTGTAGATGAGCTGGCAGTGCTCCACCGTCATGTCCCTCAGCAGCTCCTCCAGCCAGGCCTTCCACTGGTGTGCGCGGTGCAGCAGCAGGGTGGCTCTGGGGTACAGCAGAGCCACTGTGCGTAGCTGTGTCAGCTGCACATTCCAGGCAGCCGCGCAGGGCCCCCCGGCGCTGCTGCAGGCAGGGCGCTCACCTCCGCCTCCAGGCTCTCACACTGGCTGATCAGTGGGCCTGGCCTGCGTTCTGCAGGAAGGCCGTCGCTGGGGACATAGCTGGGGGGGACCTGAGGAGGGGGACAATCAGGAACACAGCTCAAGAAAAGTAATACAACACGCTCCATGTGGCACCTTTAAGAATACTACTCTACCACAATGATTTATAGACAGTAAACAAATGGACACCCATGACACATGAACAGGGCAGTGGTATTCCAGGAAAAAGGTTTGGAGTTATTAGATATCTTTGTCAAAGTGTTCCCAGTCCTTTCTATAATGTAAAGTCAACACTCAATAATAAAGGCATCACGTAACAGAAGCTTAAGACAAGACTGAGGGAAAGTGCCTTGCATAAAGCCCAATGCTGTGAATCAATGTATGTACTTCTGTGCTAACAATTGCCATTTTGAATGTTAGGAGTGCATCCCATTGTTGAATATGGCAAAATGCACTATAAGAATCAGAATGGTGCACTCGCATTTAAAAAGTTCACACTCAATGATCACCATCTTGGCTACATTACGGCGTTACACGATAAGCCGTGATTGTGGCTGCTATCACAAATAAAAGTTTAACATGTGGCTTTTCTTCACCATTTAATAAATGTACCACTAAAGTGGATTTGAAAAAACAAAACAATTTAAAGGGTTAATTGAGCAGTCTAATGACTGCAAAACATATGGTTGCTAGCTAACAGAGGCGTTAAAATGCAATCACTGCATCAGTGTTCACTGAGTGTCTTAATTGAGACACAGCAATTTTATGCAAAAATGCACTTAAGAAATTGCAAATGTTTAACAAGTTGATCCATTCCGCCTGCTTGCATCACTTCCTGTGGGACTGACCCAGATCTATGGGGCTGCTGATGTCCTGCAGCAGGCTGGCCAGCTGCGTGGCCTCCAGGTTGGAGAACGCCGCCTGGTACTGAGAGATCCACTGGTCCAGGTCCGACAGCTTGCTCTGGATGGCCTCCTGCACGGTGCGCTGCCTCGACTGCAGCTGGGTGTGTTCAGAGTACCTGTGGGGAGGAAGAGGGGGGGGTAAATACCCTTTCAGAATACACTCATATGAGCTGCTCCCCTGCACTGAGGGGACATATTAACCTTTTCATTTCATTTTCATTTCAATCTTTATTTCGAACAGATTAAAAAAAATAACAAATAAAAAAATAACAAATGTGAAAAACAGAATACCGTATTGTTAAAATACAGTATTTATCCACATTCATGATCATATTTATATATTCAACAAAAAAGTCTTCATATTAATAATAATAATAATAATAATACCTTAATGTTTTTTTAAATGTCCTACAATCTGAATGGAAGATTACTTAAAGATTCATCTAACATGGATTTGGAATATAATATTAACATAGTATAGTTCTGTGGTGTCAGACCTGTGCTCCAGGGTGAGGATCAGGTGGTCCTGATGGTTCTCGGCCCCCTCCAGGAAGGCCATCTCCTCCTGTAGTTTTGCCTGCAGTTTCTCCCCCTGGCAGAGCAGCTCCTGCAGGACTAAGTACTCCTCCACCGCCTCCTCCACCTGCGGCAGCACGGCCAGCATCTCGTCTCGATTCTTAAACCAGTTCACCTGCACACAGAACACACACACCCTTAAGGCATGAGTCTACATAGCGCTGGTGACGTCAATGTAGAAATGAGAATAGAAGCATGTTCATGCCGTGTCTTTCTTATAACAAAGACCTAAAGACCATTTCAATGAGCAGATGGGCCGGCAGAGACTGGGTGTTGCTGCCGATGAGTGTTGTACTTTTATCTCCGACTCAGATGGTCCTCTCTTCAGTGGAAGACTCATTCATACACTCTGCTCCTGTTGGAGCTCACCTTGATCTCAGCCACCCTGGAGGAGAACAGGGAGCGGGTGATGTCTCTCTCCATCTCCCTCTTGCTCTGCTTGCTGTCAGCCTGCTGGCCTCCTCCTCCGTACACGGCGCCAGCGAAGCCCACCTCCCCCCCGGCCGTCCAGTCCACCAGGGGGTCGTAGACGAAGGCCTCCAGCAGGGTCAGCAGGGTCTCTCTGCCCCGACGCATCATCTGCACCACCTGGAATCACACCATCATCTTAAGCACTCCAGAAACATTTAGCAAGAGCCAGTAAACATTCAAGTTAGAGATGAAAACTGAAGATGAATCATTGAAACCAGAACATGCCAGATTAGCTGTTTAATGCCCAGGTTTCTCTTCCTCCTATCGAGAGAAGAGGTCATTACCACATCCCATCTGAGCTGCCCAGTGTGTGTCAAAGGACAGATAGATGGAGAGCGTGTCAAACTATTCAATACATGCAATTCTCCTGAGGAAGGTCCAAGTACAAGGGAGAAGATTATTGATTCATTTACAATACCAAGGGATGACTATGTCAGGAGATTTACATTTATAGATGAACAAGTTGACTAAAAAAGTAGTTGAAGCCCAAAAAGATACAATAGTGATATAAAAAAACGTTAACGATCTTTAAGTAGATGTGTGGCAAACTTTGAATCAAACTCAAAGGTAACATTCCTCAGTTTTCCACAAACGATTCATTTTTTAAATGTTATTTCTTAAGTTTTGACAGAATTTCCTTTTGTGTATTCCCAGTAAAGTTTTAAATTTCTTAAAATGCAAGTAAAAAAAACAAAAAAACATCAAAACTAATCCAAGCACACTCTTTGGCTTCAGCAAGTTTACCAATAGTTTAACAATGAAGTCCTGAGCTGTAAGTATGACACAGTTCAGTGTGAGTGTGATGGGGCCTGGGAGTGTGAAAGGACAGTTACCTGTTCACAGGACAGCCTGAAGATGCCCTCCACCCCCGTCACTCCCAGAGCCGTCTCTATGTTGTGGGTCATCCTGAAGGGGACCTTCTCCGGCACCCTCAGGCTCTTCCCTGGTGACGCAAACAACGTGGAAACAGATCAGATTCAAACATTGTTATGTTGTGCGGCACAAATCATTTGATCAGCAATAGAATAGACTTGTATCTAGACATGCTCAGTCAGTAAGGGCTTGGACTGGGAGCTGTAGGGTCGCTGGTTCAAGTCCCCGACCAGACCTAAATATGGAGTGTGGACTGGCACTTGGAGAGGTCCCAGTTCACTTCCTGGGCCCTGCCGTGGTGCCCTTCAGCAAGGCACCGGACACCCCCCTTGCCCCCACTCCCATGGCGCTGTACAATAGCTGCTCACTGCTCCTAGTACTAGACTCCTGGTACTAGGATGGAAATGCAGAGAACTCATTTCACTCTGTGTGCTGTGCATGTGTGACCATTAAAGAGGGCTTCATCCCTCCAATTCTATACACTGTTTCATATAGCAAGACGACTGTTACCAAGACACCATTCAGAGAAAAAGGCCTTCAAAGTTTGCTGACAATATTTTAGCCATAGTCATTTTAAAAGGGGCCCATTTGGCCCCCCCTTAGGACCACCATTGGATTAGCTGGGAATCTGAAATCTGTGTTGGTCTATATAACAGCTTGTTAGCAGGCTGTCCCTCTCATCACGTTCAACAGAAAGTGGATAGATCCCAGAGATCCATCATACTGATTAGGCCAACTCAACGCATCGTAGACTAAATAGATTTTCTAAAAGACTTTAAAACCAACCAAAACACACATTTTTCACATTAATCCACGATCTGGGAATGTACCTTTGCGACATCCGAATGATTTCAATAAAGCAGGTCACATATATTCAGCAGTTAAACTCACTTTACACAAACTCAAGCAAAGCAATATGAAACTGACCTTTTTCAAAGCACACATTGTAGTCAATGTGCACCACCTCTCCAGTGGTCATGTCAATCAACACGTTGTCAAGGTGACGGTCACCGAGGCCGATGATGTATCCCACCATTGACATGACAGCAGTGGATCTGGCGTAGGACTGCAGCAGAGAGAGAGACGGGTTAGAAACCAAACAGAACATTTAATAATCAGACATGTCCGCTGAGCAGGGGTTACCTGAGTGACCCTCCACCACTCGCTGGGGGTGGTGCACGAACACCACAGCTCCTTGGCCAGCAGGTTGGAGGGCGTAGTCTCCATCAACTCCTTCAGCACGTCCTTCATGACGCTCAGGGGCCAGTCTCGCCTGGTCACATCCAGACTGAGCCCCACAGCCTTCAGAGCCGGCCCGATGCGGCTGTAGTACAGCTCACTGGGGCGGGGGACCGGGGGCACCGGCTGCTGCTGGAAGGAGTCCTGGGCCTGGTCAGGACAAGAACAAGTGTGTCAATTTCACTTGAGAAAGAAAACGTTTTAGTTTTAGTGCTTTAATATGGGTTGCAACAGGAAAGGAGCTGCGTTACCTTCTGAGCCTGCAGCACCGCCTCCCTCTGCTGCCAGCGCTTGTAGAGGCCGAAGAGCGGCGTGGCCCCGTCTACCCACTGGATGAGTCCAGACCGGGTCCCGAGGGGGGTGACGGAGTAGTGGCGGGCGTGGAAGTGCGGCTGCTCCTGCTGGTTGATCTTGGTGAACATGGTGTTGACGATTGACAGGAACTGCATGATGCGCTCGTCCAAATGCAAATCCTCCAGACCTGAGAGACAAGAGTTCCATCACTACTGACACACTTCAACTTGTTATCATCAGCCCCGACTCACTAACATGCTCCCCCCCCATCCCCTGCTGATTTGCTCTCCTACCTTTAAAGAGGTACGGGTAGTTGCGTCCGTCGGAGCCCAGGAAGAACAGCTTCTTGGGCTTGGTTTTGGTGGGCAGGATGGTGATGGTGTTGCCTACGCTCTGTATGGTGACGGCATCTGATGCCGACACCTCACCTGGGAGCGCCATCTCTGTCGTTGTCATGGAGACGAGGCGAGGACTGATCTCGTCCAGGTGAAGCAGATAGCTGGCTCGCTTCTGAGAACGCTGCTGCAGGCTCATCATGATCTGATCATAAACAACTTTATTCATTATATCAATGAAGATGACTAACCGTTAATGAGCCGACAACCAAATTGAAATTAGAGCTGAACAATTTATCTAAATTGTATTGAAATCACAATATGGGCTAGTGCAATATAGAAATCACAGTTAGTGGATTATTAAGTCAAAATATCTGAATAAAGTATTGTGGAGCTGAAGAAAAGTCCTGGCATAAAAACGGTATCTTAAAGGTGGGGTAGGTAAGTTTGAGAAACCGGCTCGAGATCGCTAGAATTTGAAAATACACAACCGGAGAAAATCTGCCACTTCCTTATAGAGCCCCTCCTCCAACACACACGAACGCACACATGACCAATGAGGGCACAAGATTTACAGTATTACAGCTTCCACAGATGACATTTTGTTATGGATTTCTTGTCAAAGCTCTTAAGATATTCATTGCTATCGGGATGTTAAGAGCATTCCATGGATTATAACAAAAAGTGTATCTCGAGCCGGTTTCTCAAACTTACCTACCCCACCTTTAAGGACTTCATAAAAAAGGTTCTTGTTTGGTACAGATCCTCACATCAAAATCACTTTCATATAGACATATAGACACACACACACACACACACACACACACGCACACACACCTGTTTGAAGGGCAGCCAGCTGCTGGCAGGGTTAGCGGGGTTGGTGGGGTTTCTCAGGCGCTCGAGGGCGGAGGTGATGGGGTCCCCGTAGGTCTGCTGGAACCAGGTCTCATGAGGGGTCTCTGCTGGAGTCGCTGTGATGCTGCACACGTGATCCAGAGCGAAGACCACCGGACGCATCAGAGCAGAGTGCTTCTCCCGCATGATGGCGATCTTCTCATCCCTGCAGACAACACAGGTTGTTACTAGAAGTACAACATCCTGACCCAGAACCATTAGGGAGCTAAGAGCATATCTGAATGGAACTTTAACAGGTGTTTTAAGACAGGGTTGAACACGCACTGTAGTTCAGTTTCTACTCTTTTACATTACTGCAGAACAGGACATTGGGAAAACAACACTTGAAAAGTAAACATTCAAATGCAAAGAAGTGATTAGCAATTGGCCCCTCTGGCCTACAATATCAACATGTATAGCACTGCAACAATAACAGAGTCCAGTTGAGCCTAAAAGTCTTGATTTCTATGCATGAGCTTTAAACCCACAACAAGATGTTGGATACCTTTTCCCAATAAACGTTAGCACTGTTGTAGTTGGAAAAGAAAACCCCAGGGCAGCTGTGGCTAAGCAGCTCGAGTAGTGTTCCTCTAGATGTGTGTGTGTGCGGAGCCTCACCTGCGCAGCGTGTTGTTGATCTGCACCCTCTTGACCTCGTCCTCCAGCTGCTGGATCCTCCTCAGGACGTGCATGTGTTGCTGCTGCAGCACGCCCAGCCACAGCTCGTCCCACAGGAGGGTGACTCTGCGCAGCTCCCCCACCAGCTGCTGCACCTGCACCAATCACAATCCTTCATTAATCTTCATTTGAGAAGTAAATAAAAACATAAAGATTGAATGCAAATAATGATATAAACTCAAGAAGTTAAGTATGTGCATAAAAAGATGAAACACAATAAAGATATCTCCTAAAAACATCAAAAATAAGGGGAAAATGATCAAATAAAAATATTCAAATAAATAAATACAAATGTAAAGTAAAGATGTACTGCATTATATCACATATATTAACATGTATATACACACACACCGTTGTGCATTATTATTAAAGGTTTCTTTTTGTTGTCAAAAGATGGGTCGTCTTTTGGGCCGTCGTTTATGTGATAACTAAAATGATCACTGAATAATGAATGAAGTGCTGATACTGTGCTCGAGTTAGACTTCTGACAGGGGGGTTAAGTTAAGGCATTAGTACATCAGTGAGTGCAGCCCCCTCCTACCTGCAGCACCATGGTGGGGTTGGCGAGGGACAGCTTCTCCACGATCTTGCTGTAGCAGTCCTGCATCATGGCCTGGTCCTGACTGGAGCAGAAGGTGGACAGCTCCTCTGAAGCCTCTCCCTGGGCCCCGCTCTCTGCCTGCTCTTCCTCCCCCCCACCCAGACCCTCCCCCTGCATGCTGCCCAGGAAGGTGGGCAGAGCTGACGGCAGTTTACTCCCTGTGAACGCATATTAGATTACAGTATTAGCATTTTACTGGCATGCATCACTCTTTCTTATTGTTTTGATGGCTACTAATTATTTTCACTTCAATGCCATTGTGTATGGAGTTTTGACCAGTGACAGTCATCAGTTCAACTATTAACAGCCAACAGACATCATGTAGTGTCTAAGAAACAAATGCCTTGTAATTCAATCAGAAAAGTGAAAGACTTCCTGCACATGTCATTTAAGTTTACCTGCATTCTGAGCCTCCCCTCCCAGGGAGAGTGAGCCCACGATGGCGGGGTACAGGATGAGGTGGGGGGAGTCCTGGGCCACTCGACACAGCAGACTGCATATGCTCTGCCGGATGTAAGCCTCTGGATGGTTAAGACGGGAAAACAGCTGGGGGATGATACCTGAGGAGGACACATGTTACAGTTAAGAACCAGCAGCAGGTCCTTAAGTAGGTTGTCAGAAGGGGGGGGGGGGGGCAGACATGATGATTGTTTGTACACTGAGATAGCACATCCTGCTTTCTTTCTTGTATGAGAGTGGGGCAGGAAAACTGCCTCTTGTTACAAGACACGTTGCAGTATGATATGACTCTGGAACTGCTTGACTGAGTACAAAACACATTTATTTACAACACACACACACACACACACACACACACACACACACACACACACACACAACACACACACACACACACACACACACACACACACACACACACACACACACACACACACACACACACACACCACCCACACACACACACACACACACACCACACACACACACACACACACACACACACACACACACACACACACACACACACACACACACACACACACACACACACACACACACACACACACACACACACACACACACACACACACACACATCACACACACACACACACACACACACACACACACACACACACACACACACACACACACACACACACACACACACACACACACACACAGTTCATTGACTACAGTTCAGCATTCAACACCATTGTGCCCTCCAAGTTCTCTTAGTTGTACTTTTTTCTTTGGATATTTATTTTGTTTTGCAGCGAACTATGGCCACGTTTTACTTCGAACGTTTTCTGGTCATTCTTCTGCTACTTTTTTCACTTTTTGTGTCGGAGAGCCATGCTCAGAGGAGTGATGGCATTGTTTACACGCGTGAGCAGCTGATTGCGCTGTGCCGACCCGTGCTGCTGCCCGGAGCCAGGCATGACATCCCGGAGGAGCTTCGGAGGCTCAAGCGGGGCTGCAGAGCTGGGGCCAAGCTGAGGATGAAGAAGAAGATGAGGTACAAACCCTGTGTACCGGCCATCATAATGGGGAACGTGAGGTCTTTGGGGAATAAGATGGACGAGCTCCGCGTGCTGACGAAGACGCAGTGGGAATACCGTGAGTGTAGCATCATGTGTTTTACCGAGACTTGGTTGCACTCGCTCATCCCGGATAATAACACGGCTCTCCCCGGCTTCACGAGTGTTCGGGCGGACAGGGACGTTATTCTGAGCGGTAAAAAGAAAGGAGGAGGGATTGCACTGTATGTGAACGAACGATGGTGTAATCCTGGACATGTTACTGTGAAGGAGCGTTTCTGTAGCCCGGACATTGAACTGCTAGCTGTGGGATTACGTCCATTTTATCTACCTAGAGAACTTTATTCTGTCATCGTAGTTGCTGTCTATATTCCACCGAACGCGGACGCGGAGGTGGCTGGTGACGTCATTCACTCTTCTGTGGCCAAACTCCAAACTCTTCACCCAAATGCATTCATAACAATAACTGGGGATTTTAACCGTGCAAAACTGGACAAATCTCTGCCTACATTCACTCAGTATGTGACATGCCCCACCAGGGGAAATAATACTCTGGATCTTTTATATGCTAATACCAAGAATGCATATTGTGCCACTGCCCTCCCCCCCCTGGGCAGATCTGACCACAACCTCGTCTTTTTGGCTCCTAAATATGTCCCACTGGTGCAGAGGCAGCCTGTATCCACCAGGACTGTGAGGAAATGGACTCCAGGGGCTAATGAGGCTCTACAGGACTGCTTCGAGACCACTGACTGGGACGTGCTTTGTGTGCCACATGGAGAGGACATCAATAATATGACTGACTGCATCACAGAATACATCAACTTCTGTGAACAAACAATATTACCGGCTAAAACTGTCAACTGTTTCCCCAATAATAAACCCTGGATTACTAGTGACCTGAAAACTCTTTTAAATAAGAAAAAGGAAGCTTATAAGTCTGGGGACAAATCAATGCTGAAGAGTGTCCAGCATCAACTGAGAGACAATTTGAGGAGGGGCAGAGATTCGTACAGGAAGAAGCTGGAGACTAAGCTCCAGCTGAACAATAGCAGGGATGTCTGGGCTGGGATGAAGGCTATCACTGGCTTCAAAGGGAGAGACAGACTGACTGTGGGCACCCTGGAGAGGGCCAACGAGCTGAACACCTTCTTCAATAGGTTTAGCTCTCCGCCCGCTGCTGTCTCCTCCACTTCCTCTTCTCACCTCACCTCCTCCTCTCAGCCTGGCGTCAACATCCCCCCTCTGCTCACCACCTACACTTCACACCTCTCCTCCACCACCCAGCCTGGCTTCTGCACCCCCCCTCTGCTCACATTGCCCGCTGACCCCCCCCCCCCCTCTGCTCATCTTGCCTCAGACCCCCCCCCCCTCTATCCCCCCTTCCATCAAGCCCCCCCCCCCGCTTCACTGTGAGCACAGGACAGGTCCAGAGTCAGATGGAAAAACTCCACCAAGGCAAGGCTGCTGGCCCTGATGGTATCAGCCCCAGGGTCCTGAGGACCTGTGCCCGCCAGCTGTCTCCTGTTCTCCAACACCTGTTCAACCTGAGCCTGCACTTGGAGACCATCCCGGTGCTGTGGAAGACATCATGCGTTGTTCCGGTCCCTAAAAAGACAACTCCTTCTGGGCTCAATGACTATCGCCCTGTAGCACTCACATCTCATGTGATGAAGGTGCTTGAGAGACTGGTCTTGGCCCATCTCAGACCGCAGGTGAGATCATTCCTTGACCCTCTGCAATTTGCCTACCAGCCTCACCTGGGGGTGGACGATGCCATTATTTACCTGCTGCAGCGTGCTCACTCATACCTGAATGGATCGGGTTGCACTGTGAGAATCACCTTTTTTGATTTCTCCAGTGCATTCAACACGATCCAGCCTCGGCTACTGAGTGACAAGCTGCAGGCTATGAGGGTAAACTCGTCCACCATCTCCTGGATTACCAACTACCTCACGGACAGACCACAGTACGTCCGGCTGGGCAGTGTGCTGTCTGATGTGGTGGTTGGTAGTATTGGAGCCCCACAGGGGACTGTGCTGTCTCCTTTCCTGTTCACCTTATACACCTCTGACTTTCTATACAACTCAGAGTCATGCCACCTGCAGAAGTTTTCGGATGACTCTGCAGTGGTAGGGTGTATAAGGGATGGACGGGAGGAGGAGTACAGAGCGCTGGTGGGTGATTTTGTTGAGTGGACTGGAAGAAATCATCTGCTTTTGAATGTGGCCAAGACCAGAGAGATGGTCATTGATTTCAGGAGGAAGAGGACATCTCCTCCTCTGCCCCTGTGCATTCTGGGAGAGGATGTGGCAGTTGTGGAGGTCTACAAGTACCTGGGAGTGCACTTAGACAATGGGCTGAACTGGAGGATCAACACTGACGCTGTGTACAAGAAGGGGATGAGCAGACTCTATTTTCTGAGGAAGCTGAGATCCTTCAACGTATGCAGTAAGATGCTGGAGATCTTCTATCAGTCTGTTGTGGCTAGTGCACTCTTCTTTGCTGCGGTCTGCTGGGGGGGCAGCATCAGAGCCGGTGACACCTGCAGGATCAATAAACTGATCAGGAAAGCTGGGTCAGTCATCGGCATCAAGCTGGAACCCTTTGAAGCTGTGGTGGAGAGGAGGACACTGAACAGGCTGTTGTCCATCATGGATAACCCCACCCATCCTCTCCACCTGCAGCTGGACAGTCAACGGAGCTCCTTCTCCAACAGACTGCTGCAGCTCCCCTGTCACAAGGACAGATACTGGAAAACATTCCTGCCCACTGCAATAACTCTGTACAACAAATCACCTCTGGCTGGAAGAGAACTCTCTGCTCCATAGTTTCTCTAGAAATAAAACCACCTTGTACATTTTACTCACACATAATCTGTTTCATATTTAATACTCCATAATTCCATATATTTTGAATATATATATATTTGTATATATATATAATATCTGTATGTATATTTTCTATTTTGTATTTTGACATGTATATTTTATATTTTATTTTATATTTTATTTTATTTTATTTCTATTCTTGTATATTTTGTTTTATTGTAAAATGCCTTTTATGCTGCTGTAACAAAAACAATTTCCCAATTTGGGATCAATAAAGTACGATCTATCTATCTATCTATCTATCTAAGCTGGCCATCAAGCTCAGAGACCTCGGGCTCAACAGCGCCCTCTGTGACTGGATCCTGAACTTCCTGACGGGCAGACCCCAGGCAGTGCGGGTGGGAAACATCACATCCTCCACCCTGATTCTCAACACCGGTGCCCCTCAAGGCTGCGTGCTCAGCCCTCTCCTCTACTCCCTGTTCACCCACGACTGCGTGGCCACACACAGCTCCAACACCATCGTGAAGTTTGCTGATGACACGACCGTCATCGGCCAGATCACAGACGATGACGAGACGGCGTACAGAGAGGAGGTCGAAAACCTGACATCTTGGTGCCAGGAGAACAACCTCCATCTCAACATCAGCAAAACAAAGGAGCTGATTGTGGACTACAGGAAGCAGCAGGGAGAGGGACACGCCCCCATCGCCATCAATGGGACTACGGTGGAGAGAGTCAAAAGCTTCAGGTTCCTTGGGGTCCACATCACTGAGGACCTGACATGGTCTCTTCACACCACCACCATCACCAAGAAAGCTCGACAGCGGCTCTTCTTCCTCCGCAGGTTGAGGAGGTTCAAAATGGATTCCAGGATACTCTGCAACTTCTACAGGTGCACGATAGAGAGTATCCTGACTGGCAGCATGACGGCCTGGTACGGCAGCTGCACCGACCTCGATCGTAAGGCTTTACAGAGGGTGGTGAAAACTGCACAGCACATCACCAGGACGGAGCTGCCATCCATGGAGGACCTTTACTCCCAGCGGCTCAGGAAGAAATCACTACGGATTATCAAAGACCCCCATCACCCCAGCCACAAACTGTTCTTTCTGTTGCCGTCTGGCAGACGTTACCGCAGCATCCTGGCAAGGACAAGAAGATTCGGAGACAGTTTCTTCCCGCGGGCAGTGAGACTGTTAAAAAAATTGAACTGTTGAAACAACTTCAAACATTCAACTGCTACTCAGTAGTATGTATCTAATACCTAATATATATATATCATTCCAATAACTTGTATATAGACTCATACTGCACTATTCCACATCATAACTTTATTTCATTTTTATAACTATTATTATTTTTGTATTGCTCTTGCTCTTATTGTTATTATGTTATGTTATTATGTTGCATTGTTGGAGAAGCCTGTGACATAAGATTTTCAACTGCATAATTACTCTGTAGCTATGTCAGATTGACAATAAAGAACCTTGAACCTTGAACACACACACGCCCAGTCAGAATTCAGATATGTTGTCCATTCATAACTGCTCCTCAGTCATACATACCCCTCCAGGGTGCTGTAGGGGTGGAGGCTAAGCCCAACTCTAGCCCCTCCCTCAGTTCACCGGCATGCTTCACCAGCAGACGGAGGAGACGCAGGGTTGCCATGACGATCATGTCGTCGTTGCTCTGTTTGCTGTTCTGACAGGACAGCAGGAGTTTGGGGTCTTCCTCATCTATAGGGACCTGAAACACAACACACACTCAGGATGAAGGGCTGCTCTCCATCAGCCACACAGATCTGAAGTCAGTAAGTGTACAAAGGGGATCCCTCACTTGTCCAGCGTTGAGCTTGAGGAAGGTGAAGTAGGCCTGGCAGGAGACCCGGTACAGGCCGAATATGCGGTCCACCACCCGCCTCCAGACCCGGATCAGACCGTCGGTGACGGGCTGGCCCGCCTCCCCCAGCCAGGGGCAGGAGCCTGTGAGCTGCCGCCAGATCACATCCACCATGTCGTCCTCATCATCGTCCTCCTGCTGCAGAGCCATGTCCTCATCCTGACACACATCAAAAGCATCGTATTGATGCAGGAATTAGTCCTCAAAACCAGAAAAAAAAAGTATAAAATTCCAGAGCCCTTAGGCGCTTTCACACCAAGTACTTTGCCATACTTAGTTCCCAGCACTTAGTTCTCCCATGGAACTAAAGAGCAGATCGCGTTCACACCGGAATAAGTCCCTGAGGGAAGATTTCGCAAATGAAGCCACTTCTTCTACTTTGGGTTTACTGGCAGGCCGCAAACAACTTCACGGCGTATACTGCCGCCCGAAGTCCCCGGAGTTGGGGACTGGCTTCAGTAGAAGCTGCTGGGACTCCCAGCAGCTTCTACTGAAGCCTTCAGAGTAAATCGCCAGAACGCCGACACCTCCTCATCTCCACCGCTCCCATGTTTTTTTTTGTGTTGCCATAAGTTAGTCTCTCTCCGTTGGTGCGCTGAGCTAATGCTAATGCTAATAATGCTAATGGCAGCAAATACAATGGCGGCTTCACAAAACTTTTCAGAGTTTTACGGGGCGTGGTTTGCAATTCGCCCAGCCAATCAGAAATTGGAACTTTTTTCTCCCCAGGAAAGTGCCTGCTCTCTAGCAGGGACTGAAAAAGGGGGGGAAAGTTCTCATGAACCAAGTTCTCTTTTTGGTGTGAACGCAAAATCCAAGGAACTATCGGAACTAAAAGGGAAAAGTACGGGGAAAAGTACTCCGGTGTGAAAGCGCCTCTTGTCTCAAAGTTAAACGTTTTAAGAACGTGTTTTTGGTTAGAAGCCTGAAAAGGAGATTCTAATGTTTTTTCTAAGACATAAAATACGTCAGTAAATACCCCACTGAAGTCAGACTCTACCTGAATGCCGGTAGGTCGACACATGGCCTGTCCGAGGATGCTGAAGATGATCTCCTTGTCTTCTTCACTGGTGGTTGCCGGCAGCAGCTCCTCTATCTCCTTCTTCTCTCCAGGAAGAAGAGGCAATCCCTCCCCTTGGCTGAGGAGAAAACAAATCATGTGATGAAATATTCCTGCAGTATGCCGTTTCATGTGTTCATGTCTTTTGATTGACTGTGGTACATTCAATTGCATTATCTCATACAGGTGAAGCTGGGTGCACTAACCTGGCGTTATCCACCACCTTCCGGCCCCAGCGGTAGGCCCAGCTGGCCAGTGCGGCCCAGGACTTTGCCATCTCTGGAGCCAGGCTGGTGGAGAGCTGGTAGAGCTGCCCCAGCACGAAGTCTGGCTCCCCGACGCCCACACTCACTGCAGGGACAACACCAACTTTCAAATGGAGCTAGAACACTGCTGTATTGTACTTCATAGTTTGCAGACACTTTTTACTTTAACTTTATCTGTTTATATTAAAATCTTTAGTCTAATGTATTTTCTATTTGACCTTTATTTGGGATTTATTCCTGTGCTCTGTGTTACCTGAGGTCTCAGTGATGATGTGGGGGATCCCCTGATCCTCCAGGGGGAGCTCCAGCAGAGCGCCGATGTTCCGGCTCAGAGGAGACATGCTGCCCACAGCGCTGGAGGAGTTCACTGCTCCTGACCGCTTCACCACCTGCACCACAACATCAGGCATCTCATTAACAATACAACCAGCCAGAGCACACTGGGTGTGAAGAACTATATTACAAAAACAAAAGTCATTTTAATGTTTGAAATATCACAGCTCGGCAAAATGTAAAGTAGATCAGTATGAAGAGAGAGCATGCCTGTTTCAGCTGAGGCGTCATGTCCTTCCAGTCGGCCAGCAGCCATTTGCAGAGTGTCAGCAGGGAGCGGCAGGCGGCGCCTTCATTCTTCCCCACGTGACAGTAAGACAGAGCAGCCCTGCTCAGCATCTCCATGGCTGCCATGGACTGGCCTGTGGACAGAGACACTGCTTAGAGACAGCTAAGGACATCAACACCAGACTTCAGAGACCCTAACCAGAGATAACGTGTACTACAGAGGGGGTCATCAACTGGATTTGTTAACCCAGGGTTTTCTCCCTCAGGCTCAGTGCGTGTTTTTATAAAAGCGGGCATTTGGTGCATTCTTTTTTTTTACAAAATTCCCACCCCTTTCCACCTTATAAGAATATTTAAAACATATAAGGGCATGAGGCAACCTGTTGCTGCAAATAAGCTCTCTGCCTCCTGTTTATTTCTACCTTGACAACCGCAAATGCAGGTATTACACTTCTAAACTAAATAATATATAGTACTAAACTCATTGTATTTAGGTCTGACCGTGTACTATAATGAAAAATACATAAAATATCACTTTATTGGTATTGGCCAAATCATCAATAAAATGTATTGATTGTCTATTATGTGTGATAAATACCAATAGACTAATACGTTTTGTAATCAGCAATAAGACCAGGAGAATATAACGTATTTCAGCAAATCAGGAGGAAGCATGAAAACATGCTGACATCATGGTTTGAAGGAATTTTAACGCTTTCCAAATACAAAATCAAAGCTGCCGCTCTGTTATGTGTGCAGTTTGAATGTCTCCAGTTGTTTACCTGCATTCCTCAGGACTTTAGCTTTCTCGATCTGCAGCTCTGCGCCCCACCTCTCCCCCACAGTGCCCTCCAGGGAGAGATGTCTGAAGGCCTGGCTCAGCCCCTCCTGCTGCCCCCCTTCTTCCTGTGTCCTGTCCCCACACTGGCTGAGCAGGCGGGACGCCAGGGCAATGTTGCCTTTCTTACGGGCAAATTTGACAGCAGTGAGACGAAGCTCTATGAGGTGGCTGTCGGTGGAGGGAGAGTGACCTGGACAAGGATGGACATGCAGACCTTTGGATTAACATTATTATACTATCTACATGTTCCTTCAGCCATACCAGAGCTGTGTGAGACAGAGCGAAACCCAACATTTCCTGTTGCTGCTTCACATTAAAAGCTTCCCATTAGTGAACCAGAAGGGAGCTTTTATTGTGAAGTTATAGGACAAGCTTACCACAGACTCAACGGAACTACTTTTTTGTAGTGAACTTCTTCAATAAAGAAAGGAAGACCCAACAAATGTAAAGGTTTGGCGGTACAAGATTGGTTTCATATTTGCAGAAAGGAAGAAGAAAAAGCCACACTGAGGTGTTCCGTTTGCTTTTGATTCTGAGGATGGCAAACTCAAAATGGAAAGCTCCTTTCAACTTTTTATTCAGAATCGCCATTTGATAATGGTTAATGCATCTATTGTATGAATTGGTAATTACCTTTAAGTTTCTGGAGCAGTTGCCTTTGGAACATGGTGTATCTGAGGGCCTGAAGGAAAGGCTGGACATCCTGCTGCTTACAGGAGCTCAGAGCCTCGCTGCCCAGAGGAATCATACACTCCTGCACACACACACACACACAGGGTTTCATTAGCCCCAACATGTTTAACAATGAGCGTCTATCGCAGTGGTTCTCAAACTTTCTGGAGAAAAAGAAAAGTCGGGCCCCTCCAACACAAATAGTCACGTAAAGTTAACATTTATCAAAATACATCAATATGAACGTGAGCATTCCTTTCAAAAGAATTAAAGAAAACACTTTGCTAGAGCAGTGATAATAAAACAATGCTCAATAAGTCTGTGTGCTCCAAAAAATAAATACATAATACAATTGTGCAATCCCTTTGCTCGAACAATACGTTATAATACTTTGCCACTTTGCAATCTGTGCAAAAAAATGCCGAGTTAAAATCATCGTTTACATTGTTTGATCAGCTCCAAATGAGATGTCTTAGTGACGCACATCTGCATATACAATGCTATACATATATTTGCCAGCATCTCTGTCATTCAACAGTGTTATCATTATATGTTCAGACATGCACAGGGGACAAAGGATTTTTCTTGTTACCCTCTTCATTTTTTTGCATTTTCTAGTGACCAAACCCTTTAAGATAACAAAGCTAGCCATTCAGATATTTCTAATATGAATGCATTCTATGATTATTAAATAAAGCCAAATGTGTGTACATACTTCCTGTCCGGTGAGCGTGTTTTCCAGGGCAGCGGTGCAGTGCAGCTGCAGGGTGGGCAGGGTGGGCAGGGCGTCAGACAGGGTGAGGGTGGAGAGGCGGAGAGGACCCAGGCAGATCCGGCCCGTCTGCTTCAGGCAGCGCACCAACGTACTGCAACATCACATCACATGTTTACTAACAGTGGAGCTGAACTAAAAGTAGAAGAAAAGCTCATATAAATCTCTATTAGGTAAGTCTAACAAGGGAGAGAGCTATCTTCTTGGTTTCAGTGGTCGAATGCACTTATTGTAAGTCGCTTTGGATAAAAGCCTCAGCTAAATGCAATGTAATGAATGCTAGGAATTGGATTGGGGACCCTATCCCCTCAAACCTCCTTCAGACTATCGCTCCTGATATTCTACCGTTTCTCACCCATTTCATCAACACTTCTCTAACTTCTGGTCACTTTCCAAACAGTCTCAAGGAGGCAAGAGTAAACCCTCTCCTAAAGAAACCCACTCTCAACCCGTCTGATGTTATAAACTACAGGCCTGTCTCTCTCCTCCCATTCCTGTCTAAATCACGCTGTCTTTAAACAACTCTCCTGTTATCTCCATCAGAACAACCTTCTGGATCCGCACCAGTCTGGTCTCAGGAAAAAAACGAAAAACGAATAACGAAATTGAAACCCGAATAGTACTCCAACGAACGAATATTCGGATATTCGGGTACAGCCCTACTGCTCACCACCTCAAGCTCAACCTTGACAAGACTGAACTGCTTTTCCTTCCGGGAAAAGATTGTCCCACCCTTGACCTAACAATCAACATCGGCCCCTCTGTTGTTTCCCCGACTCAGACTGCAAGGAATCTGGGTGTGACCCTAGATAACAACCTGTCCTTCACTGCAAACATCGCTGCTACAACCCGCTGCTGCAGATACACGCTTTACAACATCAGGAGGATACGTCCCCTCCTGACCCAGAAAGCGACGCAGGTTCTGGTCCAGGCTCTCGTCATCTCACGCCTAGACTACTGCAACTCCCTCCTGGCTGGTCCCTCCTGGCCGGTCTACCTGCATGTGCCATCCGACCTCTGCAGCTCATCCAGAATGCAGCGGCTCGTCTGGTCTTCAACCTTCCTAAATGTTCCCACACCACGCCACTCCTCCGCTCCCTTCACTGGCTTCCGGTAACTGCTAGAATCCACTTCAAGACACTGGTACTTACGTACCATGCTGTGAATGGATCTGGCCCTTCCTACATCCAGGACATGGTTAAACCATACACCCCAGCACGTGCACTCCGCTCTGCATCAGCCAAACGGCTCGCTGCACCCGCACTGCGAGGGGGACCCAAGTTCCTATCTGCAAAAACACGTCGGTTTGCTATCCTGGCTCCAAAATGGTGGAATGAGCTCCCCATTGAAATCAGGACAGCAGAAAGCTTACACATCTTCCGGCGCAGACTGAAAACACATCTCTTTCAACTCCACTTCGAGCGATAGAATTACTAACAAAGCACTTACATACTAACACAGGACTGGCTTATCTAAAGCTAGTTGAGTAGCACTTGTTTTGGCTCTATGAAACCTGATGTACTTATATGATTCTGTTTTCTTCTAGTTTGTATCTTCTTGGTCGAATGCACTTATTGTAAGTCGCTTTGGATAAAAGCCTCAGCTAATGCAATGTAATTTAAAAAAGGAGGGACTAAAATAACCTAGTACCAATTAGTATAGAAACTGGTGGCGTCAAAGATACTGGCATTGGATCATTCCATTTTAGGCATTGGTTGCAGAATGATTGCACTGTGTTTACAACCAAGTGCAACACTATGGTTTCCTTTCAGTGAGGCCTTTCAGAACAACTAGAAAAACCTCCATAAATACAAACCATGGCAGGGTCGTACATCACACAAACTACATCTGTTGAGTCAAAGCTATACCGATGAGGGATTCTGCTTTCCCCTATAGGCTACTCACTCTGGGTTGGCTGCGGTCCTCTGCTCCTGCTGCAGGGCTTTGCTCATGGCGCTCACAGAGCTGCGGAGGAGCTGCACCTCGATGGCTCTCTGTAGCTCCGTAGGATCAGGACTGATGGAGGGCAGCAGCCGCTTCAGATCTGACCAGCAAAGTCACACAAGAACATTTAGAAGAACAAACTCATCCAAATCTGTCCTCAGGGTGATGCTGACAGGGTTGCTTTCGCTGCTGCAGCCCCTAAACTGTGGACCGATCATTCCCCTCACATTAGACAGGCCTCTACATTTTCTTTTTTTTTTTTTTTATAAAATCGCTTCTTAAAACTCACCTTTCCTCCTTTCTGTCGACACCTTTTAGAATGTTGCATTTAAAATGGTATAATGTTGTATTCTTGTTTATTCTAAAAAAATATATATTTCTCTGAACTGCACTTTGGTCTAGAGGTTTTAAAGTGCTTTATCAATAAAGCAGTATTGTAGCAAGAGGACATACTTTATGAATCAATGAGGGTAATCAATGTTGCCTGTTATTTGACATTCATTCACACAGGCCTGAAATTCACACATGCATTTGTACAAATAGGACCTTTACACATTATTTAAAAAGGTGTAAACCCACCAAACCCCTTACTCCCCCAGAGGAGTAAGGGGTTTGGTGACTTGCTCAAGTACACCTCAGCATCTCTCCGGTCATATTCTCCAGTTAAAATAATCTGCCATGAACACAATTGTTCAATAGAAAAAAAGCTCAATAATAAACGCATACTATTCAACCATTTTTCCCATCCGTCCGGTATATTGAAATCTTACCGGTCACATTAAACAGCACTAATTATTTGTAACCGAAATGCTGACACAACTAATATGCAATCTAACTTGTTATGTCAGGCTTGGACCTTCTCAATATAACTATATAATAACTGTATGTTATTGAATTACAGTTTCCAGATTCAGAGAGGCCCATCGTCTCCTCCGCAATTATTAGGGGTGAGAGGAAGTACAAAGAGGCTGATTAGATTATAATCATCATTATAGAGGTTCGTGTGTTAGTTCATGTAAGGAAGATTGCATGTGCGTCCATGTGCAAACGTGTATATATATGCTTTGTTAATTGGGAAATTCATATCCTGATAAGATATGAATTACTCCTAAAGACGTCATGAGATAATGAGCTTTCGACATCTGGAACATATCCACTAATCTATGTTCGTGTGTTAGCTGTATGTTCAAGTGTATGTTCGTGTGTGTTTTACATGTATAAAGCACACACGATCTTTTTAGTCTGTGGAGCATTACTATCACTGCTTGAGAGCAAAGGTAATGTTTCCTCATTATTTCATTCTTTCCTGTTGCGAGTGCTAAATTGCCACAACAAACTCTTTAAAGCTACTATAAATACCTTTAAACACGATTACATTTCATCTTTTAGTATAAAAAGCTACAGTATTTACAGTTCAAAGAGTGTGTGTGTGTGTGCCGTCTCTCACCCAGCTTGTCCTTGCTGCTGCTCAGCGCGCTGCAGTCCTCCCCCGGCAGCAGCTCCAGCTGAGCCCCACACTCCGCCAGGTCCCCCTCCTCAAAGCGGCTCAGCGCCTGGATGTAGTTGAAGTCCGTCCTCAGGTTGATGCCGACGGGGTTGGTGGAGTTCTGTTTGAGGCCGTTGACGGCGGCCTGCCACTCCTTCACAGAGGACCAATCACAGAGCGCCACGTAACACTGACACGCCTTGTTGGCCAGGAAGTTGATCACCTCAGGAGAGCACTCGCTGGACTTCAGCAGCACCGTCTTCCTGTTGTCCCCTTTTAGAGGAACCCGACCAAAAAAAACGATTAAAAGCAGCAGTCCAATGACGACGTTAGTCTTAACAGTAGTATCTAACAAATCATACACTACAGCAAATTATAAAAAGGTTATCATTTAGAACATTATTTTGCCATCTCACCCCATACAATTAAACAAGCTAAAATACAGAGACATTATTGTTAGTGGTGGTGAAGCTAAGGACCTGGCAACTCTACGTTCACTGACTTTATTGATCTTACAACTAGCTGATATGATGGGGATGTTAGTGACTGCTTCATCACATCTCTGCTACACAGAGTAAGTTATAGGGTGGTGCAGGAATGAGTCTTATACCTGGGGATTAGTTAGCTTTTAGCACTTTCAGGCTCCCTCATTTCCAAATGAACTTTTTTTGCTGTTCTTTTGGTTATAAGTCTGAAATAAGGTCTATGGTTAAAACAAGATGAAGAGATTATAACATTTTGTTTTAAGACATAAAATACGTCAGTAAACACTTGGTTGCAAACGAGTGTCTAAATGAGAAGCGTCATCACGCCTAACTTTAGGCGCCTTTAGCTTAAACGGTGGTGACGTAAAGTTATGTCAGCGTGATGTTGTTCCTTTATAACGTTAGCTTTTAGCGTTAGCTAACCCCCGGGCCGTCTACAAAAACACGATGTCACTGCACCGCTCTATTAATGTCCCCTATACTATTAGCAAATTCATTCATCTTTGTAACTTATTTAATTTCGGGTCATTAACTACAATGTAGACATAGTGAGTGCGGTGCAGAAGTAAGAAAAGAGTAGTTGGCCTGCATATACTGTGGATATCTCTGGTTACCGTTGCTGGTGTGTTTGGGGCTGCTGGTGTTGCTGGAGATTTTGAGCAGACTGCATTCTGGGCTTTTGATGCTGCAGTCCATCCCTGTGGCGGCAGACAGCTGATCCTGATACTCCAGAGCTGCCTTCTCAAACCTGAACACACAAACACACACTTTTAAATAGAGGAACCAAATAGCCAAACCAATCACATGGATATGCTTAGCCCTGAGGATGTGTGTGTGAGGTGGGGCTGCTCACCGTCCCTCCGCCTGCAGGGCCACGGAGGGCAGCCAGCCCAGGCTTCGGCCCGTGGTGCTGAGGCTCCAGGCGGCCAGGCCCTGGATGGCCTCCGGGCAGCGCAGCTCACACAGAGCCTCCACCAGCAGCGTCAGAGGAACCTCCATCTCTGGACCCTGAGAGGCAGAACATGCTGTTAGTCTACCAGTTTATACCATCAGATAACCACACACCTGTGTCATCTAAATCACTAGTGCTAGGCATGTGTGCTGGATGTCTTTAACCAGTTGAGCCCCGAGCCTGTTTTTCAGGTCTCAGGCTCGAAAATGACATTCCCAGAACAAATGACCATATCTTCACTTCTAAAAGGGTTAAATTAATAATCTTTTTTCTCAAAGCAAAGATAAACCTGTGAGTTGGATGTAGAGAAGTCAGAATCAATATAGATTTTTTTAATTTTAAAGTAAATTCAGATTGAACATAGTAAAAAAATGTAAATTATTGTGTCCATCCAAAAAAAGAAAAAACATGACTTATAGTGAAAACCACCCTTGAATGATGGGATAGTAGACTAAAAGCTTTAGGAATACCCTGTATCAAGATTAATGCAAAACAAGTGACATTTGACCTTTTTAGAGAGATTTAGAAAAGAAAACCCACTTCTGGGGTCATTTGGGTGCATTTTCCATATCTCTGGCCCCCCTCGGTCGATTTTGATGATTGACATCTCTTTTTAACCGTTAGAGCCAATAGAATCGAGGGGGAGTTCCTAAAATCCATCTAAACATGACCCATTGGTGAATGAGTGCTGCGCAGCCAGAATGCCCCGGAACCGGAAGCTGCGATACACTCTGGTGGCTATCATTAGCAGCTAATATGAAATCTCCGTTTTTGACATAAAAATGTTATGATGGATTATCAGTAATCATTTCAAAGTGACAGACACTTTGGATTAACCTATGGATTAACCTTCAGCAGCGTTTTTATCGTTTTAATGCCATTGAACACGACTTTTGATCAGAACAACAGCAAAGGTGAGACGATCTCCCGTGAATGTTCCGTAATGCTACGTGTTGTGATGTCTGTGTTTGCTTCCCCTGTCACGAGTTCTGATCGCTCAGTGATGATACCAATACCTATAGAATCTGTGGAATCTCAGCTTTAATGTGATATATTGTATGTGCAGTTACGATAAGTAATAAGGGTATTTTGACCTTGAATTCTGTGCTAAGTGCATTAGCCTTTTTTCGCTCAGGGCTCATTTAGACGCTTCTTGTGAGACTTGTGTTTTGTTTCGGTAAAAATGGTTCGTATCGTCAGTTAGCTGAGTTTCTTCCCGTTAAATGGGTATGACACATTAATAGGTTTTCAAATATTAAGAAGCCCTGAGACACAGTTTCGTTAAAAAACACCCCGCAGGCCCCGGATTAGGGGCCTCTCGGGCTTAACAGGTTAAGGTATCGATCGAAAAAACTAGTTCTAGTGTGTCTCAATTTAGCTTTTTAATGAAATTGATTGGAATAGATTTGTTTTTGTTTATTTTGCCATCCAACTTTACTCTCCCGCCCCTTAGCCTATCACTTACAATGTGATGGAGTGCTAGCCAATAGCTTGAGTGTCACAAAGTGATGTCACTATGTTACACATAGTTCCCAGGTTCCTTAATCAAGACACATATTCAAATCTTGAGAAAACCCTAACAACCTGATTTCCTAGAGACCCCACCCCCTTATAATCAGTATCACTTTACTATGTAAACTATACACCCTGAAGTTCCACAGCAGGAAGGTGCACACAGAAGCCTCAGAGACTAACTGTGCTTCCTGTGTGCAGGCTACGACCTGCAACAAAACATCTGCAGCCTCTGAAGGTAGAGCATGAGTCAGTGTGTTTGTACCGACCTGCGTGTTGCTGTTTTTAATCTCTGTCAGCAGGTCGAAGCCGTGGCGAATGGTGACTGCCGGCTGGCCCGACAGAAGCCCGACTCTCATCAGCGCCAGGCGGATCCTCGTCAGCCAGTCCTGGCACGTCTGCCGGTTGGTGTAGAAGAACGTCCTGATACCCTGGGACACATGAGAAGGGAATATTCCTTAAAGCTAATAAAGCCTTCTTTATTAATGACTGATATTTCAATTGTGTTCTAAGGTCTCAGCACTCCTGAGTTTTAGTGCTGAAGAGGCTGTGGAGTGTGGAGCTTCAGGTTGCACACCTTCGGGGGGGCAGTGAGAGCATTGGCGCAGCCCTCGTAGGCGTTGTACATGAGCTTCTCCAGGTTCTCCACATACTGCAGCAGCAGAGCCAGGCGCAGCTGATTGGAGTGGTGACCATCTCCGTCCCCCCCAGTCCCGGCCCAGGCTCCCACATCCTGCTCCGGGTTCAGACTGTGGGCCGCCAGGCTCCGGATCATTCCTGAAACACAGAGGGGGGAGAATGAAGGGAGCTTTGAGACACTGTGAACCACAACATCTCCAAGTCATGTCCAACAGGGGGACTGGCATAATGACTTACAGTATTACCAAAGCATTGTACAATTATTGACAATTACAACATGCCTCTATACATACAGAAAATATCAATTTTGAATATTCAACTTGTTTTTCTGTTCAAGGAAAACAATGTACATTTTGAACATGAACAAACACATTTTGTAAAGTAAATCCAGACGTAAGATAAACCACCACACATCCTAAGCTTTTCCTCTGGGTTACAATTGTGTCTGGGACCCAATTTAGAGTCTGCATTTTCCCTTCTCAAATATGTATCCTTTACTGTTCGTCTTGTCCCTACATCCCGCGCATCACTTCTACTGTCTTTTATTAACAAGGTCATTAATGCGCTACCTACTGTCACCAACTGTCAAGGAAGAGTATTTCATGAATAAGCCAGACACTACTTTGCAGGTTCAGATACTCAACAATGGCAAATTAATTGCAGCAACTAAATCATGTTTTTTGGACCAATTATGTGAAATTGGATAATTTCCCTACGATCTCTCAAACACAGCAGAGTGATTTAAAAATCAGTGTTTTGCCCCCTGCCTCTCTTTTAAAAAAACGCAACTTTATTATATTTTTAATAGGTGGCTTTTGCATATTGACCACATCACACACATTCTGAGGTGTCCCCTTATACCCACAATGGCATATGCACATTAGCCTCATTAGTTTGTAACAACCTGCTATAGCATTCCAAGATAAAAAAGGCTTGAAACCCAAATGAATTGTATGTGCCTGTGACACACAGAGGATCTGGACTTCCTACCTTCGATGGTCTGGAAGGTGTCCTGAGCGCGGCCCAGCGGGGTTCTGAGTTTGGACAGCACGGTGAACTGAGCAGCCTCCCACACGGCCCACTGCCACATCACCGCCTCGGTCTTCAGCAGCACCCGCGGCACCACCCCCGGCCTGCAGCTGTCTGCAGCCGCTCGGCCGTCCCTCTTCTCCAGCCGCTGGCAGCTGTAGTACAGGCGCTCCAGCCAGGGGTCCTTCCTGTCAGACAGGAATGAGAAGCTCAGCGTTAAAGACATTCTGCTATAGTACGCACATTCATCTGCAGAGGGACTCGCTGGGATCCATGACTGAGCCATCCAGAAACTGGATATACTTGAATTGATCCAAAACAGTGGAAGAACAAACCATTCTGCACTTATTCATTTCATCTTACTTGCCAGTGCCAAAGACACATTTATATGATATGTAAATGTAATGGACAATTACGCAGTGGTTGTGGGGAATCTTTTTAATAATGGTGTATTATTAAAATATCAACTTGACCTCCTGAAGAAGAAAAATACTCCACTGTTCTCTCTTCTAATGGATGAACACCACCGTTATGTTTGCTAGAAGGTTGACTGACTTTCTTTCAAAATGTCTGAGACTGTAAGAGAACAGTAACAGAGGTTGAAACTTGTTTCAAATGCCTCCGTCGCCGTGACGTACCCCCCGCGGTGCAGGACTCCGTACAGGATGAAGCTGATGAGGTCGCTGAAGTCCTGGGGGTGGAAGGTGGTGCTGGGAGCTCGGCTCATGTTGTGACGGATGGCCAGAGAGATTTCCCTCATCTCAGGGTGGCTGTGGTTACTGTGGGGAAACACAATCATTAAGTCATACACCAGACACATTCATTGACACCTGTCTTGTGTTAAACCATTTGGACATCAAAAATCGGAGCAATTAAGAGATTCAAAACCAGAAAAGGACTTTCCTTAGGACATGACTCCTTCAGTCTAAACTTGTATTGTATTATCATTTTAGTCCCTGTACATGACTTGGAGTATTTTTGGTTTATTTACTTTCTAAACCAATTTATCACATTTCTTTTTTGTTATTACGCCTTAAGGTTTGAGGTCCTTGACCAAAAACAATTGAATAACTCACAGGAGGACTATTATTTATAAGCATTGCTTTCTGCCCTCCTACTTCAACTAACTTATATAGTGCATATATTCATGTTGAGTTAGTTGAACAAAAAAAAAAGTGTTTAATTCAATAGACCTGCTGGTACTAGTGTTCATTTCGTTGACTAAAACTATGACGAAATATGTTCGTCAACGAACGAGAAGGCACCGACGGCAGTAAACAATAACTGTAATAAAATCATCATGCAATATCGTTGACGAAAATGTAGTTTACTAAATAAAAACTATGCCAAAATCTCTCTTTACTTTCGTTGACGAAAAATGAGGAGACGAAATATTATTAAAGATAACGTTACATCTCCGAAAGTCAGTTTTTCTCCCAGCAGTTCCATTTCCGGTGCTGCGGCTGGGCAGCAGCTGTGTGTCTGTGCTGCGCGCAGCGGTACATTTGAATTACACCGGGCAGCGGCACAATATGAACTGTCAGGAAGACTCGGGTCTAACTCATGGTCTAACTAACCTTATTTAACAGAAAATAAAATGGCAACAACAGGGCTTGGGAGCAGTGGTCGCACTCGCGTTAACCGAATACCCCCCCGTCAGCGCGAGTGAGTGATAAATTGTGCACTCGACGGGTAATAATGGATTATGACGGAAATATTACGATCCTGTCCGTCAAAATGACTGACAACGAAAAAGTCTAACGCCACCACTGCTTGGGAGAAAGAAACGATGTGATATTTGGGCCCATTTTCGCTACAATGAGGCTGAGAAAAAAAGCGAATGCATTGTTTTATCAGAAGGGAAGCAATGTGGCCTTAACACAGCTGGTAAAAACACCACAAACCTGACCACTCTCTGCAAAGCTGCATTCTTAATCATTCAACCTGTGTTTTTCATCAAATAAGGACAAGATATCATCTTATTGTGAAATAAGTTTGACTAAAATGACAAATTATTGGTTTTGGCTAGACTAATTTGACTGAAATGTTCTATATAATCTGATGACTAAAAAAGCCTCAACAGTTTTCATTGACAAAAAGTAGACTAAAATAATTAGTTTTCTTTGACTAAAATAAGACTAAAATGCTCAGACTTTTAGTCGACTAAAACTTGACTAAATAAAAACAGGATGAAGGTGACTAAGTATGACTAAAACGGAAATGTAACACAGGACTAAGACTAAAAAAGGCTAATTAACACTAGCTGGTACACAGTCATGGTGTTTCCAGTTGTAATATCATTTAGTCAAACAGATTTGGCATGTGGAGAGCTGAATCTTACCTTAAAGCCACATCGAGGGGGATTGTCCTGAGCAGCTTGCCGTAGGCCTGCCTCACCCTCACTGCTGAGTGCACCAACTGCACTCTGCACACATCCACACACCTGATAGGAGAACAGAGCAGAGGGAATCATTACCAAATGTAAATCCCTTCCTGAGAGCAGTTTGTGCTGGAGTTTAGTTTGATGTTGACCTCTGCAGCAGCTCCGTGGACAGAGAGGAGGAGAGGACCTGCAGACTGTGGCAGGTCTGGAGGCAGATACTCTGGTCTTCATTGAGACCTGTGCACAGAAAAGGAGGAGGAACAACATCAGCCGCTTGACCTGTGGGAAAGGCAAGATGAAAATATAGATTTGCTGGACGTATGGGGCTCACCGTTAGCCAGCAGGCCTCTGCAGAACTTGTTGAAGGAGGGCAGGGAGAAGAGGGGGATGTAGTTGTCAGACTTCTTCATCAGCACAGAGATCTCCTGAGCCCAGGTCAGCAGCAGCCTCCTGACAGAGCAACAGAGCCGTTAGAGCTGTGGATCCACTTAGCAGCTATCTCCCATTATTGTCTCAAATGAATACATCTCAAAACTCTTTAGATACTGCACATATTACATTATTTACATTAGTACTTTGCACTGATAGTGTACGTTGTTTTTTGATATATCCAGATTTCATGTAAATAATGTTCTATATCTTAACGTATAATAGTTTTCTAATTGTTTTGTATTGTTTCTTGTTTGGCTGTTTGACTTTTTATTTCCTTGAACTGTGTCTTTGCACCATGTACACCAAGGCAAATCCTTCGTTTGTGTTCACCTGCTTGGCAATAAGCCTGTTTCTGTTCTGTTAATACATACAGACATGAGATGGATCCATCCTTTATGACTATGCAGGGTTTCTTTTATTTCTTTTTTTTAAATCTCTCTTCTCATTTATTTATTTGTTGCGTCTGCTGTAGTTATTGTTTTGATTTCGTCAATTGTTTCTGTTCTTGGTTTGTAAAATGACTTGTATGTATACGCTGGGCATTCTAGAAATGTCATTATTGGTGCAGCCGGACAAAATAGTACGTAAATATGGCAATTGTGTACGTTTGTTCTTGAGATGTTCAAATAAAGAAAGAAGTCGGAGAAAACCCCTTCCAAATTTGTTTAAAAAATAAGAATATATCCATAGAAAGCAATCGCAATGATTTGTATTTAATTATTAGGTTTGTTTAATGAAATGATTACTTATTTATTAAGGTAATATATATACAAAAATGGAAGCTTTCCCCGAGTATGGTTATTTGATCCTGAATGGTGCCACCCTGCTGTGTGTGCTGACATTATGGTGGGAAGCCCAGCAGTGACTCCTAGTGGAACAACACTTAGTGCCCGTTAGCTCACCACTCACTGTGGACTACTAATGGGATGGCTTTCCATGTGGCACATTCTGAGGTTGTGCATGGGTATCACTATCTAAGTAGTCGTTTTTATTTAACTGTTAATGTCCTGACAGTTCATCGTTGAGTTTTAGTCGTGGTGTAAGTTGGTGTGATGAAGAACCTGGCCTCGGGGGGGAGGTGCTCCTTGGCTAGCAGACCTCCCAGAAGATTTAGCAGCGTGCTGAAATGTTTCTTTGTGGCCGTGGTGACGGTGCTGATGACGGCGCCATCAAACAGGGAGGGGGAGGACGACAGGCTGGACGAGATGAAGTGATCGTGTCTGAACAAACAGAAGAGACAGGCAGTGAGGAGCAGTGACATCAGAGCAGCTCCTACAGGTTACTGTTCATCTGTGCATTCATCTCTACTGGGTATGTTCCATTTAAACCTGACACATCACACCAGATCAAGAGTCTCCTTTCTTAGGAGCTCCTCAGGGAATACAGATTTAACATGCAGGAAGAACATACTTTTGAAGCCAGGGATACAGGTGTGTGTGTGTGTATGTATGTGTTTCCAAAAAAAATTGTGCCGGCTAAGATTTCAATTTACTGGACAAATGTGAAATATTCAGTCAAATATTATCTGTATTTATAATTGAGGTTGAACAAATATTTGTATCCATACAACAGCAATTCCCTGATGTTAAATGATCCTCCATCGTTCTTTTGGGGTAAACGTGTGTTCCGTCTCTATTTTTGACCCTGGGCACCACCGTTGGGTTTGAGCATGCAAAAGGCAGCATCAGTACGGCACTTAATGTGAATTGAGTTGTGTAGCGTTGTCCCGGTGCGCTCAGACGGCTCTGTGTGCGCTGTCATCACAGCCAGCTGGTGGCTTGTGGCGTCATGGGGCTGATGCTGACTCATCTATTTAGACTATTTTTAGAACACTTTAAATTCGTGGTTAATGGCTAATTATTTTTACTGGACAATATGACCGGAGAGATATTTACCCAAATGGTCAAAGTCCGGTAAAAACTGAAGTGTGTGTGTGTGTGTGAGAGTGTGAGTGTGAGTGTGAGTGTGAGTGTGTGTGAGTGTGTGTTACCTGGTGCAGTGGGAGTACAGGGTGTAGAGCGCAGCATACTGGATGGCAGGGTAGAAGACAGCCAACTCAGCGTGGACCAGCGTCATATCGTGACTGAGCAGGGTGAAGACCGTAGGAGACAACGCCCACATCTTCAGAGACAGAAGACACTCCAACAATAAACACACGGCCATGTAACAGTTCATCAGGACAACAACACCACAATGCGTTTAGTGATACAGCATTTCACTTTCACCTGGTTATAACTGGATTCAATGGCCTTTTTTTAGATGTATCAGTAAAGCATATGAACTACACTGCAGTCCATAGTCTGTGTTTACAGTAACAGGCAGAGTGACAGTATGATCAGGTCCAACAAGGCTTAAGTGAGCTGCGTAACGGGCACAGGTTGTCATTATTGATTGGTCGCCATACTCAAGAGTCTTAGGGCGGACGCTAAAATAGCCAGACTACAGAACTGAAAGAGGGGGTTGATAGTGTTGTGCAATGTGGAGGGACAGGAAATCTTCATAGAAACATTTTAAATCCATAATGAAACCGAAACCAAACATAGGGACCCTTACAAGTGTGTTTTTTTGGGGCGTAAGGAGCGCCGAGGTTGTAAGAGGTGTTTAGCTGCCCACTGAGAGGACAAATACCGTCACTTTATGGTTAAAACTGCCATCCTTTTTCGCGAAAATGTCAGAAATGGACTCGGCATCCTCAATAACCCCCAAAACCACTCAAACTGTCTAACATATGCAAGTTAGCATCCAGTAGTTTCTATGTGCTGGGGACACTACTATTCATTTCTAACATAAAGCTTTGGGAGCCTAAACATTTCCAGGTTCACTCAGGAGGTAACTAGACTATGTAGCAGGAAGGGGCTGCATCCTTTTCTTGAGGCAACCAAGCCAGTTCATATGTTCGGTAAGCAGCTGTCTCAGCCTTTAGCCTCAGTGATACAACAAGTGATCATGCCGTTACTAGCTGTGTGAGTGTTGTTTAGTGAGCATCAGTAAAAAGAGACTGACCCCGATGAGAGAGTTCTTGGTGTTTCCGATGGTGGTCAGGGTGTTGAGGTTGAAGATCACGATAAACTGTGCCTTCTCCGGGGGTAGGGTGAGGGAAGCAAAAGTGGGGTGCTGGATGCTGGGGCAAATGCTGCTGGGGGCCGGGGCACTCTCACTGGGCTCCAGGGTCCCCGTCAGGCTGGACAGGGCACAGGCCATCTCCCCCAGAACCAGCTTATAAGCTGCTTCCAGCGTGGGAATGTTCTTCAGACTCAGCAGCGCCTTGTACACAGCCAGAACTGCTGACATCACCTGGGGAATAACCACATGCAGGTTTATCAAATGTGTGAGGACATTATAGTGTTTTATTTCAGTTTCTTTGGTTTCAAATGATTACAACCAAACCTCAACCATGAAACAATAGCCCTCGCCCTTACAGTAATCCACTTTAAAGTCATTATGCTTCTCTGGGTCTGGGTCTATTTATTCTGCTTTGGGCCCCTAAATTCTAATAATGGCTAAACAATATACAAAAAAAAACATTACATTGAATTATTTAATTTTTCTATAGTCAAATGTAAAAATACAGTTATTCCCAATCTAAAAAGGGTACATTTTAAAGTTGAATGCAGTTTGAGAGCAAAAATAAGAGGCTAGAAATAATGTTGTGCTCATAGCAATCATTAAATCATGGATGTATAGATATGAATGATTATGACAGCAAGAAAGTCACACCCACAGAGCGAGCTGAACGAGGGAGCTTTATTTCAAGAGGAGTCTGAAAGGGAGCAGATCACTGCATCATTTCCAAAACAGTTAAAGATGTATGCTCGTGCTTTTTCCAATATGACTGGCTGAAATGTTTGGATACCCCAACATGTGTGGCTCCGTAGCGTATTAGCTACATAGAAATAATAGACCAAGCCTTACATGTTAGGAAATGAACCAATGGCCCATAATGTGACACACCCACATGTTTTGACACAGCAACACACAAATGCTCACCTCTTTCTCTCGATGGAAGCGCAGCTTCAGCAGGCGGGACTCGGGTGCCAACAATTTCTCAACGAAGGCCGCGGGCAGCCTTGTGTTGATCTGGTCTATGATCTGTAAGACAATGCAGTCAAAATGACATCAATCTACAGTTTGGTAGAGAGGAATAATATACAACCCACGAGAGTAAACGGTACCAAAACAAACCTTTATAGATGTAAAACTCCAAGAACAACAAATAGACTGGAAAACTACACTGTCAATACAAATAAGCTTTATGAAACTCGCTCAGTGTGAAACCACAGTGTAATCAGATCAAAGTGAAACCGGTGTGATCAAACTCTTAAAGTGGCGTTACCAAGGTGACGAGGCTGAGCACTGCCAGGTTGTAGTCAGGGCCGCAAGCCTGACAGCAGTCCAGCTGGTCCAGGCCGTAGGTGAGGATGGCCTCCATCAGCAGGCCGTAGGGCTCCACACTGGTCAGCAGCACCCCCACACACTCGTTCCCCGCCGTGAGGACCAGCTCAGAGAACTGGACCTGCTTTGCCGTTGACACACAGGACAGAACCCGGCTCAGAACCTGAGGAAACAGAACAGACCAGATTCAGATACCATGACGCTGAAATATCACATTAATAACAAATGTAGAAGTGACCTGTAGCAAATGATAGAGATAAACACATGCGTTCATGTGACTGGATCTGCTTTTCAGAACATCTTTTATAATATTAACTCTGCCCCCCCAGGTTGTTGGAGGTGTAGCTCTTACATCGTTGACGTAGACCTCATTGATGGGGGGTCCTCTGAAGGGACTGAATCTCTCTCCGATGCTGCGGACCACCGTACTGAAGACCCTCAGCAGAGCTGCCAGTTTGGGCAGAGACACTGAGGGAGGGGGGATGTCTTCATCCAGCACCTCCCCTGACATCACATGGTTCAGATCCTGAACAGAGCACACAGTCAAACTCTTCATCAACTCCAACTGGCAGGATGTACAGCTTTTACACCAGAATATCACTTTAACATGACTTACTCACAGAGCCAATAAAGTGGTGCAGAAATGAATCCTAAAACCCATAAATACCTATACAATTTATTAATATTGATACATTTGTCTCAAATTACAATTTGTATTTGGCTGTAAAACAATAAACCATAGAGCAATAAAAAGTGCTTCACAACAGTAGAGTATCTAAGTGGCAGAACAGCATTTTGTCCAGGAGCTTCATGTAATGCGTCACCTCTGCATATGCTTCCATATCCTCCAGGAACTGTCCCAGCAGGGTGGTGGAGAAGGTCAGGTCTGCCACCCAGAACTGCTCCAGACTCTGTAACCAGCCTGAACACACACAGGGGGGGCAGAGGGGGGACATGAGCTACTGGACTGCCATCTACAGCAGCACAATGTTTAGCACTTCTGTGATGGTCAGATGAAGTGCAAGTAGATTAAACCATTAATCAATGGATATCCTCGTTTCATAGTATATTAAAATCAGAACTGTCTATTTCATCTATAAACAATGCTCTTTTCCTGTTAAGCAGATATATTTTTTTGGGTCATCTATTAAAGATAGCTTATAAAACTGAGAAAAATAATGAAGTCCTTAAGCAGCCTGTGTAGATACTGGCAGTGTTGATGACTTTAAAACAGAGCTTACATGCCTTCCCTGTAGACAAGCCCTTAAAATCAACTATTCAGTCAATTCAAGCCACAGGCCGGTAGACAGAAATAAACAGGTTGATTACATTTCATTGCAGAGAAGATGTATGGAGTAAAAACAAAATGTCAATCCAACTTATCCCATGAGAACTTATCAAAGTTTGAACACCAAAAAAAGTTTAGTGCAAATGATAAAACCCCACTGACCTGAAACCTGCTGAGTGAGTGAGTGTTTCTGTGTGTGATCAATGTGCCATCCCACCAAGATGTCCACTGTGTCCTGTGGAAAAACAGAAAAAACCTTAGTTAACCCCGTGTGCCTAGCTGACACTTTTATACAAAACGATTTACAGTGCAATCAAACATAAAGATACAAAATCATAAAGGCAAAAACATGAAAGTCCATTAGCTTTCAATAAACCAAACCTTTGTATGTACTGCTGCTTTGGCTTTGAATAACCCAAACCTTCCAAGGCATACATTCAAACAAGATTAATGGTGCAGGTGAAACGGGTGTTTTTTAGGTCTGCGATAAGACTTTCTGCTGCCCTGATATCTACGTGGAGCAACATACATATCTAGGCTCTTTGTTTTGTTTAAATGTATACCCCGTGTATCTAGGCCCTTTTTGTTTTGTTTTATGTATACATGTCACACTGTAGGACTGCGGGAAACGATATTTAGAGATTTCTGGATGTATAACACATGTAGAATTTTTGACAATAAAGCTGACATTGACTTTGATGCGCTCCGTGGTGAAGCACTCACTCTGAAGTTGGTGCTGAAGACGTGCGGGTAGCAGCGCGCCACCTGCAGGATACACTTCACGCTGTGACAGAGCAGCTCCGGAGTGTCCACGTTCTCCAGGATGGACTGCAGGTTGCTCATCACCAGCTGGAACACACAAAACACTCCCATCAAACCTTCTGCAGATCAGAGAATGATATGGGAACAGAGCGCGGCTCAGAGCCTGTGGGGTTACCTGCATGACGTGAGAGAAGGCCTTCCTCTCCCCGGCGGCCTCCAGGGCGCGCTGCGCTGCCACCAGGTACAGCAGCTTCACCTCGTCCCGGGTGCCCGTGGTGAACTTGAGGAAGAGCCACTTGAAGATGCGCTCGGCCTCGTAGCTCAGCACGGTGCAGAGCAGACCCAGGCAGGCTGCGGCGTCCTGACGCAGCTCCCACAGCAGCTTACTGCTACACAACAACACCGGGGGGGAGTCAGTTAGAGACAGAATCACATTAGGGGCAAGGAGGGAGGAGTCACTCTTACAATGAAAAGGGAGACATTCCAATAGCATAACAGCACCAGTCCAGAGCTCCATCTTACCTCTCATTCAAAATGTCATTCAAGGTGCTGAGGATGGTGTCCAGCTGTTTGACCAGGGTCTGTGGAGACAACACAAAGTATGAGAACAGGTCCGTGTCAGTACTTTCAACACATTTCAAAAAGGATATTCCGGTGTTTCTGATCCTGATGCATTTCCAAATTGTCGCTGTGTAACTATTAGGGGTGTTGAAGTTCATCCTGTCTACGATGCATCGCGATGCGGACGTGGATGATTCTGCATCGATAGAACATAATCGATTATAGCGTAGTAATGTTGCTTCCAGATTTTCCGGCCGTGGCTGGACAATGAGTTTTCTTTGCTTGGTTTTTTCTGTCACACGAATATCAAATCGGTCGATGACGCAGAGATCAGGGAACAGACGTGACAGCGGCTCAGCGACACCACACACGGAGCAGCTTTATCCACCAACACAATCAACACCAGTCCAGAACCAACAGCAGAATGACCCGCTCTGACTCAGTCCAGAACCAACAGCAGAATGACCCGCTCTGACTCAGTCCAGAACCAACGGCAGAATGACCCGCTCTGACTCAGTCCAGAACCAACAGCAGAATGACCCGCTCTGACTCAGTCCAGAACCAACAGCAGAATGACCCGCTCTGACTCAGTCCAGAACCAACAGCAGAATGACCCGCTCTGACTCAGTCCAGAACCAACAGCAGAATGACCCGCTCTGACTCAGTCCAGAACCAACGGCAGAATGACCCGCTCTGACTCAGTCCAGAACCAACAGCAGAATGACCCGCTCTGAATCAGTCCAGAACCAACAGCAGAATGACCCGCTCTGACTCAGTCCAGAACCAACGGCAGAATGACCCGCTCTGACTCAGTCCAGAACCAACAGCAGAATGACCCGCTCTGAATCAGTCCAGAACCAACAGCAGAATGACCCGCTCTGACTCAGTCCAGAACCAACAGCAGAATGACCCGCTCTGAATCAGTCCAGAACCAACAGCAGAATGACCCGCTCTGAATCAGTCCAGAACCAACAGCAGAATGACCCGCTCTGAATCAGTCCAGAACCAACAGCAGAATGACCCGCTCTGACTCAGTCCAGAACCAACAGCAGAATGACCCGCTCTGACTCAGTCCAGAACCAACAGCAGAATGACCCGCTCTGACTCAGTCCAGAACCAACAGCAGAATGACCCGCTCTGACTCAGTCCAGAACCAACAGCAGAATGACCCGCTCTGACTCAGTCCAGAACCAACAGCAGAATGACCCGCTCTGACTCAGTCCAGAACCAAGTTTGCCTTCAAGTTTGTGAAGGCAGGAAGAAAGCTTCCGCGATCACCGTCTCCTCTCTGTTCCTCCAAACCCCCCCCCCCCCCCTTGAAAAGAATGAGTGACAGGCTTTATTATTCATTTAATCCCTGATTGAGATATGATGAAGCTAACTTAATCTCATACATTCATTGGATTTATGTAACAGTGAGACAGAGAATGTAAGTGTGCACCCACATGCACTATTTTTGTTTTTGTTTTGTTGTAAATACTCCTGTTGTCTGCTGTGTTCAGACTTAAGTCCTGTGTGATGCCACATTCAGGACATTCACTGTCCTCTCTTTAACAGAAGACCGTTGCTAGAAGCTGCAACTAGACTGCAGAAGTATTAGTTTTTTGTTTTTGAGGATGGAACTAGGCCTGTCGCGATAAGCAATTAATTGATTAATTATCGTACGATAAATAAAAATGAACTCGATAACTTTTCTGACCTCGATAAATTGCCGTTTATATGCGTGTTTGTTTACATAAGGATGTGACCAGCATTTTTGCAAGGCGCGCTGTGGCTGCTGGCCAGGCGCGCCGTGAGGGGCGGGGCTCACACACAGCCAGGTCAGAACACTCCGCGTGCAGCAGTCAAATTAATAATAGAGACAAGCAGGAGACAACTTGTGAATTACTCGAGGGGAATTTGAAGTTAAATGGAATTGGTTGCAAAACCTAATACCATCTCCGGTGTGGGAATATTTTGGATTTAAGCCAAATCAATGAGGCGAACCTACGGACTTCAATGAGCCGGGCGGTGTGTCGCATTTGTTTTAAAAAGGTAGCAACAAAAGCTAGCGATACGACCAACCTTAAACTGCACCTGAAACACAACCTACCCATTCCGTTTTCCCAGCTGGTAGCAAACACGGCAGCTGGAGATGGAGAGCCCCCACCTTCCCGACAGTTTACAATCAAAGATGCATTTGCCTGACAATGCAAACATGTTGGTGTTCCTTGCTCGAAATCTTTGATTGATACAGATTTGGATATGGCCTGTTGAGGTTTTTTGTGCTTGTGAGACAATGTGTGCTCATATTTATTTATTTGTAATATATATATATATATATATATATATATATATATATATGAGAGAGAGAGAGAGTTGACTTTTCTTTTCTTTGGTCCACTCATTGTTACAGATGCAGGTTCAAAGGTGAATTAGGTTCGAAGGTGAATTATTGCGTCATCGTTTGCGTCATGACGTAACCGTTTACGTGCCTTCTTATGACCCACACAGCGTTTTACGTCGCTGATTTTCTCCGCAACACCGCTCACAACAACATCAATAGAGGACTGCGTCGGGTCGTTTTTAATCATACGAAGCCAGAACTACTTCTCAAACTTTATACCTTTCTCCTGAGTGCCGTGGTGCATTGTTTATTAATGTGGTTCAGCTGCATTACTGCCCGCTGCAGTGCTGCTCGTCTACCGGAGTTTATTCTCCCGTTAACTCGCGGCAGCGGCCGCTGTAAAGTTTTCATTGTCTGACTGTCACACAAGCAGCTGATAAATATCCCCCATCCCCATCAGTGAATGTGTTTTAGTCTGAACGCTGTTTGGCATCACAACGCTGTTATGAAAGTTTCTCTGGCATTCTACAGGTGATGTTGGCATAGCAACCAAAGCTAATCAAACTATCTTGACTACTTGTTGCTATCATGTTGTGGCATAAGCCGTTTTCTACACGCATATTTTACCGGCGTAGTTTTCGTTATGATTTTACTTGTGATGGCCACATGTAGCCCATGTATTGATTCTATCCGATAGCTGCTATAATACAAAACAACAGGAAAACGTCTGCCTGCTCTTAACAATGGTCAATAACAATGAACGGATGGTCATTAAAGTAAGGTAAAATAAACAGAATCACACTCAGCCTGGTTAGTGTTGCCTGACTTTATACAAGTATTTTTATAAGTGTGTGGTTGCGTTCTAGTCACTTTGCTCAGCGCTACTGCTTGTTACAACTTGTATTCGCCGTACTCGCCATGAACTGTTATTGCTCAGGTTAATCTCGACCCCATCCAATGTAAGCGTGACGTATTTGGTGCTTGGATCTTGCCGGGTTGCCGAGTGGGGCCAGCTGAGAAAATAGACCAGACTCCAGCAAAGGTAAATTGAGTCTAGAGTGCGCCATCTAGTGGGATCAACTGAAATGCCGGGTATTGCAGGAAAAAGGCAAAATGAATGCGGTCTTTACTATAATTTGGACAATTTTGTACCAATATTCGGCGGGCCGGATTCAAAAGCCCAACGGCTAACCCAAGGGCCGTATATGGCCAACGGGCCTTAGTTTGCCCATGCCTGGGCTAGACCTATACAATTTATTTATTTATTATGGTTTATAATTTAATGTCAAGACATTTATGTTATTGATTTCTGACGCACTTTCTAAATAATAAAAAGGGGGTTCATATGTATCTTACTGCATGTATTAATTTATGAAAAAGAAGTCATGTGCAATAATATAGAAAATTGAGGATGCAATGCATTGTTATGAATCGTGATATCGAATCAGTGACAGGATAATCGTAATCGAATCGTGAGACCAGTGAAGATGCACAGCCATAGTAACTATGCTACCTTTTTCTGCTCCATTGTAAAGATTTAGGGAAAAGAGGACTCTCGTGAAACAGTATGGATTGGAAATGCCATGTGACGAATGAGAGATTGCAGAAGATAAATCCAAACAGAGTGTTTACAGTGTAGTGCAGTGACCACATATTTGTGTAGGTCGACACAGAAGTTAGCATCTCCCTGGTTCCCCCAACAGAAAGAGCAATGGGATTTTGGAATATTACAGAAAATAAGATATGAGGCTAACAAATGTTTATGATACTTACACTTCACTTATTTACGCCACTTTGTGTATTTCGAAGCAAAAATACAAATGCTAGATGTTAAAAGTTGTAAGCTTGTGTTAACCACAGCACAGATCTTGCTTAAGACCCCATTTACACGCAAACGCAAACGCATACGAAACGAAACGCAAACGAAACGCAAACGAACCGAATACGATATCAAAAAAGTCTTCCGTTCACACGAGACCGCTCGGGAGCGCTGGAGACGCTGTAGTACATATGCCGGGCCTGTAAGTGGCGCTGTACTTCCGCACGAGACCGCTCGGGAGCGCTGTAGTACATATGCCGGGCCTGTAAGTGGCGCTGTACTTCCGCACGAGACCGCTCGGGAGCGCTGTAGTACATATGCCGGGCCTGTAAGTGGCGCTGTACTTCCGCACGAGACCGCTCGGGAGCGCTGTAGTACATATGCCGGGCCTGTAAGTGGCGCTGTACTTCCGCACGAGACCGCTCGGGAGCGCTGTAGTACATATGCCGGGCCTGTAAGTGGCGCTGTACTTTCGCCACAAAACACACCAAAAGCAGCGAAGAAGACCCCCGAGCATGGTTGCCCTTCTGTTTATGCCCCGCGGTGGATTCAGGAACATGTAGTTCATGTAGTTCTCCATGTCCACTTGTTGCTGATGGTTGTGGTAGAGGAGCTGTAGATTTTGCACTAACATCTGTAGCATGGTCAGTAGCAGTAGCACTAGCAGTAGCTACTGACAATAGCTACTGACCATGCTACAGCAGTGAGCAGCAGAGGTGGGGAGAGGCGGGGCTATGGCTTCATCGTTATCAGGAAATGATCGTATAGGGCGTTCACACGGAGCCGTTGGGCCCCCCAGAGCGTTCCGTTTGCAGATCTACCCACCTTGGGACCCATTATCGTTTGAGGGGTCTGTTTCCGCGGTTCCGTTACGGCCTCGTGTGAACGAACGGGCTATACGAAAGAGAAAAGTAGCGGATACAACCGTTTGCACATAAGGCATCTAACCAAAAACGTAAACTTCGAGGCGAGGGAACCGGAAGTGGTAAAAGTGACGACTCATTTCCGGGTTTTATGACAATTTAACAGTATTCACTGGAGGTTGTTTCTCTGATGTTAGCAGGATGGGGGACTGACCACTTTGCTCTCGCTGTGACTGATCAGGTCCTTCAGCTGTTTGAGGGTGGCCAGCCTGCGGTCGCGGTCGTCCTCCCTGGAGACTCTGCGCAGGAGGTTGGCCAGCCGAGACTCCTCTGAGATAGCCATCCCTCTGTCTGCAACAACAACAACAACAACACAGCATGTCAACAACTCTGCAGGTTCATCCTCATCATTTTTATTCTGTCACATGAACCTTAACATCAGGAAATATCATTATAATCGCTAAAGGAAATACAAAAATATTGTTATCGGCTATTCAAGTGCACTGATCTTCAGATCTGGTTCAATCCCCACTGCAGTCAGCATATGGCTGTGTCCCTGGGCAGACACCTCACCCCAAATACTGCAGCTCCTGTGGGGACTGCCCACAGTATGGAGTCGCTTTGGGTAAACGCATCTAACAAAGTGACATATAATGTAATGAACTAAAAAACACAAAGTAACTACACGGGATATTGCTCATTTCTCATGAGTAATTCTAATGTGGCCTTGATTGTTGACTTGGATTGCACAGATTGCAAATTTCATAGCAGATAGTATTTTTTTTAAGTTTAACAATTTGGGTGATGCCAATACACCTTACTCTATTTTTCTTTGTAGTTAATTCCCCTTTTGTGCCAGTGAAACAAAAACATATTTACTATAAATATTCATCACACTTACTTTGTACAAATTCCTGAAATTAACTTTTGCCTTCTCATTGAGAAGATTTAAAGTATCAACAGTCAGTGGTGACTTTTTTTTTGTCAATCAGTCTATTAATACCCATTTATTAAAATAAGAAAACTTATAAATATACAGAAGAATCTTTTAGTTTGTGAATTTTAGGTAAATGGAGAATAAAGATGAACGGAGACTGAGCGCTCACTTTTCAGGTCAACACACATGAAGTCAGCGGAGGCCAATCAAGTTACATTTGATCCCCCTCAGTCATTGTTCTAATCCTTCAAAATTAAAGACCAACTTGAGATATTGTCGGTCATTAGGGGTGTAACGGTTCACAATCATTTCGGTTCGGTACGTACCTCGGTTTTTAGGTCACGGTTCGGTACAGCAGAAAAAATTATCACAAAACATAAAATATTTTTGGGGTTTTTTAATTATTATTAAACTGTGAATAATGTATTCACTCAAATAAATACAAAATATAATAAAAATAAACATTAAGGTGCAGCATTTCGATGAACTGAAATAATCTGTATTTGAACTTTACTGTACTAGTACTCACAAAACATAATATTTGTTTTGGGTTTTTAATTATTATTAAACTGAATATTCACTCAAATAAATACAAAATATAATAAAATAAACATTAAGGTGCAGCATTTCGATGAACTGAAATAATCTGTACTTGAACTGTATAGTACTAGTACTCACCTAAGCTGCCAGCTTGACATTAGGCTTGTCATTGTATTTTCATGTTTTTTTTAAGAAATATTAACTTGTCCACATATTGCTTGCCGAAAGGGCAGATCTGCTGGCACTAACAATGTCTCCTGCTGTGGAGAACACCCTCTCGCTAGGGACAGAGGTAGCAGATTTACTGACTAAATTTGAACGCATCCCTGTGACCAGCTCTCATAGTATGCCTCTCGTCCAATTAAATGACTTGGTCGCTCTATGACGCGTTGAACCCAATGGGAGCAAATTACACTGAACACTGCGACGCAGCACCTGAGATTACTTCCAAAAAGTTGTTCACGTTCTACGTTATATTTGTTCGGTACACACGTGTACCGACCCGAAGGGCCCATACCGAATATTTTCGGTACGAATACGTATACCGTTACACCCCTATCGGTCATTAATTTAAAAAATGTGTTTATTAGCAGTCACATGGCACCGCTAGACACATAAACATCCTCTAGTGCCATTGGTGCATGTCACCTTATTTGCCCATGTGCAGATGAGACAAATGAAGCTTGAACGAGCTGATGCTGATGTATGGTGCATCGGTACATCACAGATTTGACATATGTTGGCAATTTGAGATTTACAGGGTTAGGGTTACTGTGGTACATTTGTCAGTAAAGATTAGCCTCAATATGCAGGAGTAGATGAACATATCTTAGGCCATCTGCAGCCCTTATCACTGAATCATATGTTAGAGCATCGATCTGTCAGAGAGCTTACCCTGCGATTTCCTCATGTCCTTTGAAGCTAAAGCACGGTTTCCATGCTGAAACGGAGTCAAATCTGTAGTCACGTCATTTGGCCTCAACTCTTGCCCCACCGACTTCCAACCAAATGTAGTATCACAGACACCCGGACCAGCGTCATATCCATCTGAGGAAAACAAGGGGGTTAGAACTGTTTATTACATAGGAAGCTAAAAAAGAAAAACAAGGTTAGAAGGATATTGGACTCAGGCCTCACCCTCGTCCTGGTGTGCCTCTGCAGGAGCGTAGGCATCGCTGGGCACGGCGGGCTGGTCGGGGCAGCTGGGGGGCAACACGTCATACACCGCTGCTGAACCGAGCTCTCTGGACTTCACTCCGTCCTGGCTGGATGACACACTTTCAACTCTGAACACAAAGAGAGATGAGAAAGAGAAATCCTGTCACTGAAGTACCGGAATGGCTTCACAAAGTGTTTCACTGCTAGGTCATCATCTATCAATGTTTTTAATGATTTACTCCACAACTGAATAGGGGAGGAATCTGAGAATTTTACAAACACCTTACCAATACTGATTTCAGATCTCCATAACTTCATTCAGAATACATTCTGGATTTACAAGCTAAGGGGCGCCAGCCAGGTACCAAAAAAAATATATATATATATATATATATATATATATATATATATATTTTAATTTTTTTTCCTATACATTAAAATAATAATACGTGGCGCTCGCGTCATCGCAACGGAGGAGCACACAGCCTCTGTGAGCGAGCGAGAGAGAGAGAGAGCACACCTATCTATTTAATATAGTTGTAGAAAATAAAGTAAGAAATCATTCCAATGTGTACTATAGGACAGTACAAAAAAAACAGTTTAAAGGGAAGTGATTAGTAAAATATGCATAAATAAAAAGAAAGAATGCCAACTAGGTAACATAAGATAAGAATACACAAGTTTAAATGATTTGTTATTGGTTGTGATCATATTCTAAAGATGTTTGGATTATTGAAAAGTATACATCTCCCTTTCATCTGAGTGTTGAACTCATATGAAATCAATCCATAAATTCATTAAGCACCAGATTGATGCATTTAACTTCAACATTTAAAAAAAGATCTTCCCGGGGGTGCATGCCCCCAGACCCCCCTAGACGATGTGAGGTCCACCCCCAAATAAAGCAGTGCTGTAACCAAGTTTCCTTAAAGCACTGGAGAATAAGCATTCTGCTGCAATACTACCAAAAGAGGAGCCACTACTCATTAGAACATTGTACTGGCGCACAGCTTTTAAATGATTATTTATTAAAGGGTTTTCACCCAGTCATAGTTTTCTGGAAGTCCGTACAGTTCAGTATGAGGGTATTCCCTACCATTGCTGTAACACTTTTTCTGATGACAAATATGCTTATCTGGAAAGAAATTAAACAGAATCTGAGAAAAACCCCATTTCATAAAAGGCGCTACATCTTCCTAAACAAGGTTTTCGCACATCACTCGTTCAGATTTTTTGTTAATATTTTCTAGAAAATGTGGTTGTTCCTGTCTGATCACTGCCTGATCACTACCTGCCACACTGTGGCTCTGAACTGAAAGTGAAAGCAGCCGATGCCACATCCTCAGTGGATTGTGACTGAAGTCATTAGAACTGATAGAAGCTAAACTACACAGCAGGGAAATCTCAACTATGAAATGGCAGGTTTCTGTTTTATAAATTCAGCAATTTACTGATTTTTTTGTTGCCTGACAAACGGCTACAGTATCAGAAAGCGTAAACATTCAGAGTCCAAAAGTCAAAACTGAGAGAACAGCAAACACTTATCTCCCAACAAATCATAAAAGCAACCATATGGCATCAAACGTCTTAGCTTATATTGTTCCAGTGAAAAACGACCCAACACAAATCTATTGAACATGTATATAATAATACCTTATTAATAAATGCCACTTGAAAAGAAACAAAATCATCTGTTGACTTTATATGATTCCATTAGTTAATTTGCTTAATTTAAAGTGTTGCTAAACTAAGAGACACAGGGAAATGGTATTGTTTTTTCCCACTCATGTGTTACTTAAATGATGCATCCAACAGTTTATCCACATGTGTGTATGCAAGAGATTTTTCTTCTCGTGCCTTATGTATAACATTTCCAGAACAATGAAAACATATTTGAATTGCCGATCATGAAATGTAGGATCAAACGAACAACGCCACTAATAATAGGTTCCTACTATGTTGCTTTGTGAGCAGCATTACTCATGTACACATTTGTCCTGCTTAGTAAACAGGCCAAGGAATGTATTTGTTTTAACATTCCTGCTTTGAAAAGTGAGGGGGACGTTATGAGATATATATATATATATATATATATATATATATATTCCACTTGAACCTCATAATTGTGTAATCAAATGTTCAAAGTACCAAAAGTAAACAATGCATGTGGGTACAGTAGCTGCTTGTTGGTATTACGGTTACAATTATGCATCTAACCTTAAGTTCTGGCATTGTGTTAAACAGTGATCCTAAGGTTTAGGCCCTTGGTCAAAACTTTTTACAAATGCAAGGTTTATACCAAGGGCCCGGGTAAAAATGATTTATGGTGCCTGTATCTGCATTATGCAGTTCTTTAGGTAATAATTTGTGAAACTTTAGTTCCACTATAAATTGTTTGAGAATGTGTGCACTGTAAGCACAATGTAATCTCAAAACGCCTAGGTCATATCAATAGATCTTTCCCAAGAGCCTATGTGTCAATGGGGCCCCAGATTTGGTAACGATGCAGGAAAACAAGAATTTGGGCCAAAGAAATGTGTAATTAAACTAAATTTAGACACACTAATAGTGGTCATAAAGTGAACATGGGGCATTGAGGGCCAATGAGCGACAGGGGCCCCTGCTGCAGTCACCCCGCTAAAAACACATGATGTTACAGATGTCGTGAGGCACGTTTACACATGTGATGCTAACACAGAAGCCTAATGCTTCAACCAGACATTTATTATCAGCTTAAAAGGCTGACGGAGTACAGTTTTAATCACACCGTGTATACATATATCCGGAAGTTCTGAAGGAAGTTGATAACATTGCATTATGGTGGCGTTTTCCCTGGCTAAGTGTTAGCCAGCGCCAACAGTATCGTGGTGATGCTAACTAGCTACACTAACACAGCTCATTAAGAATAAGTATCACCTTGAGGTTAATTCATAAATTAATATTGGGTTATCATTGCGGTATATGAGACTTCATTTTTGCCAACATGTCAATTATGTCAATTAAGTGAGTTAGCAGCATGTAGCTAATCAATGCTAAGCTAGCTTTAGCGCCGGGCTCAACAGCTTGCAGCGTGTTGTGCTATTGTGACAATACAGCGGTTAAACAGACATTTAGACAACGGTGAGCATTTAATGCTTTAGTCCAGAGACACCCAGTATTTCCATCCCATTACTCAATTGAGCAACACAGCATAGGCCCATAAGGTCCCCGCTGTATTGTAGCTAGCTTCCTCCGGAGGTGAGCACCAACCTGGGCTGCCAGTCACTCCAGTGTGGCTGCAGTCTGTGGGCAGCGCCGCTGAGCCGAGACCCCGGGGCTTTGCGGCTCATTACCTTTCAGAGAGCTGCATGACCCGCCGGCCGCGGTGACCGTGGAGCTCCTCAGGGTTACTTTGCTCTAGTATGTCTTGTCAAGTCTCTAAAATCGGTTAGCAACTTGTCGTTATGGCTAGCTTATGGTAGTGTTGTTTGCTCTTCTTCGCTGCGGTTTTACGGCAGTGGACCGCTGCATTACTGCCATCTTCTGGAGGTAACGGTTGTTAGCCTCCAGCCTCTTATCAGCCCTGTTCCTGTGAGGGGATCAAATCAAGGTTTTGCCTTGTCCACTTTCACCATTCGACTGTTTGCCCAAATCTTCTAATTCCTTTTATCCAGTGGTGGAATGTAACTAAGTATGTCTACTCAAGTGCTGTACTTTTTATATAGTTTAGGGCAGTGGTTCCCAACCTGGGGGGCGCGCCCCCCTTGGGGGGGTGCCAAAGATCGCAGGGGGGGCGCCAGGTTTGATTTGATTTGAGGCCAAATATCATATTTAGATTAAAAAAAAAACTAAAAAAAATTCTTCACATATAATTGTAACGCAATACATGATTGTCACTAAAAGCCTTGTCTCTACATTACAGTAACATATAAAAAATAATTAATTAATTAATTTGAATAAAAATTCAAGTTAGTAGCTATTATAGGCATAACAAGACAGAAATGTATAATTCTTTCTTTAATAGAAATGTTTCTTCTGCCCGTAAAGTGTCCAAACCAGGCTTTTCTGGATAAGCGCATTTTTAAAACATATTGTCCATGCCGGTTTCAGATTATTTGTCACAGTTGCTCCGATCAGATCGGTCTCCTCCATTTTGTAGATTATTTACGACTTTTGTATCCACATAAACACATCGGCAAAATCCGGCTTACTTTGAGCATGTGTTTTAAACAGTTTAATCCCTTTGTGAATTGTTTCCACTTGCGCCGTCCTTTAATTTCTTCATACAGCAAGGCAAGGCAAGGCAAGGCAATTTTATTTATATAGCACTTTTCAGCACGTGGCGATACAGCGGGAATCCAAATGAATTAATCCTGAGTCCAATAACCATCAAAGTCACTCCAATAGTGCTCCTTGATTACGCTTTCATCCTCCTTTAACAAAATACTTCACATTCATCCAGTTTGTGACAGTAGTTGTAGCATTTTTTAGACTTTTAAACTTCCAACAGGAGTCATTTGGGGGGGCTCTTGGGAAAAAAGGTTGGGAACCCCTGGTTTAGGGGATGTGCATTTGTTACAGCGAGAAAAGAGCCAAAGACAGCTTAATATGAACTAAGAAGCATGCATTAAAAAAAAATTAAAGATACAAAGATTACACAATTTACAAAATAGAGGTGGTAGAAGTACTCAAATATTGTACTTAAGTAAAAGTAGAAGTACCAGAATGTAGGAATACTCTGTTACAAGTAAAAGTCCTGCATTCTGAATGTTTCTTAAGGAAAAGAACAAAAGTATTAGCATCCAAATATACTTAAAGTACCAAAAGTAAAAGTACTCATTATGTTGATTGGCCCATTTCACAATCATATAGCCTATATTATATGTTTTGACATTAATGTGTTTATCAAGCTGGTAAAGATGGAACACATGTTAATGACTTCATTTACTGCAGGGTAGTGTGCATTTAATCCAGGTGTAACCAAAGTCTTGATCATATTTATTACTGATATGAAAAGTAACGGTACTACATAAATGTAGTGGAGTAAAAGTACAATTTACCTTTGAATTGTAGTGGGGTAGAAGTACAAAGTAGCAAATAATTTAAATACTCAAGTCAAGTATAAGTACCTCAAAATGTAACTTAAATACAGTACTTGAGTAAATGTACTTTACTTTGTCATATGCTGTACACACGGTAAAGCCTGTGAGACACATGTGTAATTTGTAATAATGGGCTATATAAATAACATTTGAATGATTTTTTGATTGATTTGTATTAACACTGTGAACTTGCAAAGTAACTAGTAATTAATCTTGTCAATTAAATGTAGTGAGTAAAAAGTACAATATATTTTTCAAAATAATAGTAGAGTATGAAGTATAGCATAAAATGGAAATACGGTAAGTAGTACTTGAGTAAACGTATTTAGTTACTTGCAATCCCTGCCTTTAATTGCTGAAACTAACATGCACATGCTTTTAGGTAGGTCTATCTGACAGAGTTCATCTGATTTTTTTATATAATTTAATATTTGTATATAAAACATTAGAATTTACAATAAAGAGATATATAAAATAAAATAAATTATAAAGTTTAAGTAAGAATGTGACTACAAAACATAGCATGCATATTACAATATACGTTGTGTTAGCATTAATAAGTCATATTCATGGTCCCTATTAATATAGTGTTCCCTAATGAAATCAGAAATGTTATTACCGTCACTCGTCTGCTTCAATTTTAAATGAGCAGCATATTCACAAACATTTTGAAGAATTATTGAGTAAACCATGTTTAGTGTTGTTATGGTTTAGCCTATTCTAATCAAAATAAGTCAACAATGTCATGCTGTGTGTCATGGTTAGTTGCTTTTTATAGCCCTATAGTTCCCATGACATTGTGTTAGGGGTCCGAGCATGAGCATACATATCTCCGTAACCCAGTATCAGAAATGTAGTGTTTCATGTGATACATGTGTGTGCTGTACACACTGTAAATACCACATATTTGTGCTATTGGGTTATATAAATAAAATAAGATTATTTGATTGATTGAACACCATAACCTTCAAAAATAAAGATCTATTAGATTTATGAACTTGAATATAGTCTTTGTAAAACACATGTTCATGAATGCATCGATTTAAAAAGAGGTTTGTTTTTATTTGTTCAGTATTTCTTTATTGGTTAATGTTTTTGTGAAAACCATAAATGAGTCTCTACTTGTAATATACCCTTAAGTCTGTTTTATTTGTAGATCATGAATTTCAATCTGAGTTGAATGAGTTGTGTCCCTTAGACCTACTGCTAAATACTCAAAGATAATGAGGCAATAATGGGTTCCTTTCTTAATATATCTAGATGGTTGGAAAACAAATCATAATTGTTCATATTTTATTGCAGTCATATCTCCCCTGGTGACACACTTTCTCATACTGTAGACTTACTTATTTTTGCCTTTGGTCTTCTTCTGCAGCAACCATATGCTAGGCATGACTGTGTTCAGTTAAAACACTTCATCAGGCAAAGAAAAAACAAAAAAATAGTTATATACGTTTTACTCTAATCTCTCTCTAGGTCGTCCTCAGGCGAGCCCTCCATCGTCGCTTCCAGTCATCCCGGTTCTCCATACATCTGGCCAGTTCATTGGTACTTTGTGCTCCTGGGTCATTCTTGAGTACTCTAATGAGATGAAGCAAAGCCAAAGACATACGGTATCTCCTTCTCCAGCACCTGGACACAGCAGGAACCTACGCCAGGATCCTGTTTGTGGACTTCAGCTCCGCCTCCAACACCATCATCCCGGCTCTGCTGCAGGACAAGCTCTCCCAGCTGCACGTGCCCGATTCCACCTGCAGGTGGATCACAGACTTCCTGTCTGACAGGAAGCAGCACGTGAGGCTGGGGAAACACGTCTCTGACCCCGGACCATCAGCACCGGTTCCCCTCAAGGCTGTGTTCTTTCACCTCTGCTCTTCTCCCTGTATACCAACAGCTGCACCTCCAGTCACCAGTCTGTCAAGCTCCTGAAGTTCAGACGACACCACGCTCATCGGACTCATCTCTGGTGGGGACGAGTCTGCCTACAGGTGGGAGATGGACCATCTGGTGACCTGGTGTGGGGAAAACCACCTGGAGCTCAACGCTCTCAAGACAGTGGAGATGGTTGTGGACTTTAGGAAGAACGCAGCCCCGCCCGCCCCCATCACTCTGTATGACTCCCCAGTAACTGCTGTGAAGTCTTTCCGCTTCCTGGGCACCATCATCGCCCAGGACCTCAAATGGGAGCAGAACAGCAGCTCCCTCATCAAAAAAGCCCAGCAGAGGATGTTCTTCCTGAGGCAGCTGAAGAAATTCAACCTGCCAAAGACGATGATGGTGAACTTCTACACCTCCATCATGGAGTCCATCCTCACCTCCTCCATCACCATCTGGTACGCTGCAGCCACAGCCAAGGATAAGGGCAGGCTGCAGCGGGTCATCCGCTCTGCAGAGAAGGTGATCGGCTGCAATCTGCCATCCCTCCACGACCTGCACGCCTCCAGGACCCTGAGGCGGGCAGGGGAGATAGTGGCCGACCCCTCCCACCCTGGACACAAACTGTTCACCCCCCTCCCCTCTGGCAGGAGGCTGCGCTCCATCAGGACCAAAACCTCTCGCCACCTGAACAGTTTCTTCCCCTCCGCTACCGGAGCAAGGATCGGGACCCCCCACTGACTCTGACTATTATCCACCCCACAAACATTATGCACTACATTAATCACCTCATGTGAACAATATCTTGTTCATCCTATGACTGTCAGTCCTGCACAAACCTCCGAATTCTGCACATTGCACATAGTAACTGCACATCAATTATTTTTATATTATATTTTTACAGGTATTTCATCCATATTCAATGTAAATATTGCTATATTTTAATGTTATTTTAGTTTTCTTGAAATAGATGTTATCATTGATTAATTTGTGTGTATGTTTATATATGCACCAACAACACCAAGACAAATGTTGTTAACCTACTTGGCATAAACCTGTTCCTGATTCTATCTCTCACACAGAGGGGAAGGGAATCAGGATGCAGTTAAGCCTGCAACCACCAGAGGGACTCCCCTTCAGCTGAGTGGAGCACCTTCTGTGGCCTGAATCACTAAACCAATGCAGAGCCACTTCTGGTTGGCACGGCGGCCGGATTTCTTCACTATAATTGAATGAAAATTAAGATTTGTTTTGACTCCTTTTCAATGTCACTTCATTTAGCATCACTCAACTTCAGTTCTGGGTTGTATCAATTGTCAATTAAACGCACATTGTGTGAGGAGCAGAGATTGTCGGATGAAATATATATGATGAAGGTTGAGGATTCAGCTCCTGAGGGGGTGAAGGATGGGGACCAGATGCATTTTGAAGTGGGTCATTTTGCCCTTTAATTAAGCGCTGTGACTCCAGAGTAGATGGTTACACATTTAGCCAATGCGTAATGGACAGTTTAGTTCTATCTTTCAAGTTGAA